TTGAGATCACCAATGTTTCCATCCAAATACAATGTGGGCATGATTTCTAAATAAGTCTTGCAATAAACAGTTGTCTCTCATACAACATGGGTAGTGACATACATAAGTACATATACATTATGGAAGCAATTTATGCAAGTTCAGGCATGATTTTTTCTGGCTATAATTGTAAAGATAACGTGAGTTCATGACACACAACATATTTAATCTATTTAAAATGAATATCATGGATGACTTTGAGTTTTGATAATGAAGGAAAAGTATTACTTAGTCATTGTCTGACAATTTTTTATATGAATTATAGAGTTCTTGACGTTTTTATGCCAGTCTAACATTACCAATAGACGAACTTCAGTTGTATAAAACTGAACTAATATGTAATGAGCTGATTACTTGAAAGTATTATATTAAGTTTTTGTTATTTCAATTATTGATAAATCATTTTTTGTTTAAAATCTACAATTCATACATAATTTTAACTTGTACATATATTATATATAATGAATTTAGTGTTTTTTTTGATTTTTTTTTTATTTAATAAATTTTCTTCTTCTCATATATAATCAAAATATAAATATATACATATATGGCATAAAACCAGTACATACACATAATTACAACCAAAATACGAATATTAATATAAATAATTTAAAAATTCAAAACATATAAAAAGTATTTACCAATATTATATTGAAAAGTATATTATGTATCTACATTTTAGTGGAACTATGTAAACTATTTTTAGAGCCTTGACAGCAAATATAAATAAATTATATATTAAAGTAATAATTAAAAATTGCAAAAATATTGAAGTTTTATTTTTTGGAAGAGGTTTTCGGGATGAAGTCTTAATAAATTAATAATTAACCCATTTCGTAAGAATTTGTTACCAAAGTTCTTCTTCTACACTTTCCAGGAACGTATGCAAATGGGATCATAATAATCATTACGATAATCATTATGAAAAAGAGTTTTGGTATTATATTTCAAAATATTTACGTATTCCTTTTCCATTTTACAGCAATCTTGTAAGGATCAGTCAATCCTCAAGCACTTTTCTCTATTGCTTTTTATTAGTCCCTTCTCTTATTCTACATCTAGAATACCTATTATATTCAGATCGATATGTACTGCAGTAAACTTATATCTCTCTTAACATTGGACATTTCTACAAGCTGACTCTGGAAAATAATTTTCTATTTTTATTTATAGTATTTATTTTTAAATATATAAATTGTTAATTAATAACTTCAACTGCCATTGTAAAAATTACAAATATATTTTTTGGTTCTCTTCGACTTATAAAATAAAATAAAATAAAATAAAATAAAATAAAATAAAATAAAATAAAATAAAATAAAAAATAAAAAAAAAATAAATAAAATAAAATAAAATAAAATAAAATAAAATAAAATAAAATAAAATAAAATAAAATAAAATAAAATAAAATAAAATAAAATAAAATACAATAAAATCAATTAAATTAAATTAAATAAAATTAAATAAAATAATATAAATAAGTAAATCTATATAAATAAGGCACTCTTTAATCGAAATTATAAATGTTTCATTCGTTACCTTAGCAACTCCTATTAATCATCATATAATTTTGAATCATTAATTTGTTTAAATTGAATTAGTCTTATATTAATATAACTTTCAATAGAATTAGACTTTAACGTAAAGTTTTATCCTAAATTTTTCTGAAAATAGAGTTCTAAAAAAAACATGAAATCTGAGAAGAATTAACTATATAGATACTATCAAAGTGAAATGCTCTAAAGATATCAATTAATACCCAATAGCATCGTTGGCAACAAGATAATATTTTGTTAATATAATAATATAGCTTCCAAGGATATCAATAAAATTGGTTTTATTTGCAAAGAGCTCTATAGCAAATTCGTAAATTGTCTTAAATGCCAAACAACTGAATAAAAAAAAATACAAACAATTATCAGTAGTAGATCACAGTTCCAAATATGACACGAACACAAAAAGCTATCTCCAGTGTTCAATCCTACACAAGACAAATCTATACATTAAATTCTCTGATACACCAAATAACGCATAAATTGAAATTCATAAACTAAAAATAATTTAAACATAACGAGAATTATAAAAATTTAGAAACTTAAGTGATAACACAATAAGTCTTTATATATAATGGAAATAAACCAGACCGATTGCATTAATCGTTTACAGATTTCAAGATGTAAACTTTTCGAATAATTCAATACTGTATGCGTCCATAGAAATGTAGATATCATCAATCGATTTGGTATTATATCTAGCCATATTCGTTCGTTGATACATGGCAACTTAACGATCAGCTTGAAAAACAGAAGAGTGAGTAATCGGAGAAGATTATTAAAGAATATAACTTCTAAACAGGATAACTAAATTTAAATTTATATACTTTCTAGCAGAGATTAGCGTTTTATATATGTTATAGTCATAGATATACATATCTAAGAACTGCTAAAATTAAGTCTAATTTTATGGTGATATGATGACAATTTGAAATGAGATCCTTTCATTTTATTTGCTGTGAAGTCAGCGGTTAATCTTAGGGCTTAATTTATAAATTGGAAGTGTGCTTCTTTACTTAGTACGACCCTCCACAGTATAAACTACAGAAAAATGTTAGTTAAAGTTGAGAACTTTTAATATAATACAATATTTGAAAAATTATAAAACTACAGTAAAGAGCATAAAAAGAAAAGTAAATTCCATTTAATTAAAAATTTTAAATAAACGTTTTTTTATTTAATATATACAATATGTATTTACATTATTATTCAGCAGTGTATAACTATAAAGTAATTTAGTATGGTTTATAGTTTTATTTTAGTTACGTTCATCACATATAGTAAACTGGTTAACTTAGGTCTGACGATGTGATGACATTAACAAACAAGTTGATCGGAGAAGATTGAAAATACTCTCCAGCACTTTAGATTTCGTGATTTAATTGATTATGAGGTCATGTACTCCTTTGGGGATAACGTGTGTCTAGAGTCTAGATTATAAAGAAAAGGGTTAGTCGAGGAACATATTAAGTCTATAAATTTAAGCGAAATTACTATTTTAGCAATTAGTCATTAGTCATTGTAGTCCACCACTTTAATTGATATTAAAGGGAGTTGTCTGATATAGATATTTTGTAAGAGTTTCGCTATTGAAATTTATGCAAAAATTTAGAAGGGAATGAAAACGCAAATATATTTTATATTCCACATAGGTATTCCAAAAATTTATATCAATTGTTATTCATTTTATCGACGTGGAATTGTTGACTCATAATGTCTTCAAATAGAATTTGTTTAAATAGTCGTAAATAAACATTTTTTTGTGGGAAAAGTGAAAAGTTGTGTAAAAATCAATGCAACGTATAAGCTTATGTTACTGCACTCAATTATACTACAATCCGCAGTGCATTGCGTTGCATCTAAAATTTATTTAAATGAAATTCACTCTTAGTGACTCTTTTCACTTGCTTATATTTACACATTTCTTACATATTAGCATAAGTTCCATAATTGCAAAAAAAAACTACAAACACCAATAACTTAAGACTTTCACATAATGCACATATGTTTTATATATCAATTCACTTACATGCATATAATACATACACGGGTACATACTTCTCACACATCAACGAATGTGAGTTCTTGTGAAACAGTTATCAAACTACAATATACAATAGATCACGTAAATTTATTATAATTAATATTGCTTCATGCATACTACGAGAATAGAATCGGAAGAAATATTGGAAAGTTTAAGTCTCGCTTTATCAAAACTTTCTGATGTCATTTGTAACTGTCATTAAAAGAAAAATATTCCACAAGAAGGCAAACAGACGAACAGTCAGAATAGAATATAATATTAATAGGGCAAATAGCAATCAGTAGAGATAAAGTCTAGGACCGTAAGTTCTTTGTTCTTCAACTAACTCGAACGGAAAATTGAAGTATCATCCATTTAAAAGGACCTTGCAATATCTAAATATCAAAGACATTCAAACGTTACAACGTCTTCTGCTCCAAATATGTATTAGCACTATATATATGTTTCATATAGATTCCAACTTTTCTTTTATGCAGTACACATATCTAAGCAAACTCAATATACTTTATGTTCAGAGGAGAGTATTAAATATAATTAATCAGAGTTATTGATTCTAAGTCTGTTTATTTAAACTTTGTTTACATTTTAGCACTATATAGAGTTTGTTGTTCTATGATTAATAAATAGGTATAAGGGTAGCACCATAAAGGTGAAACCTTTTTCTTCGAAAAACTTGACACTAACAAAGAATTCGCTTTGAGCTTTCAATTATCATTTTAGACAAACAACAGGCTTCAGTGTTGGACAGAGATAATTTATTTTAGTGATATCGCAAGTTATAGTGACCCATAAAGTAATAAGATAGTGCCAAGACTTTCCTACTTAAGCCTTCCTTGCTTATGACAATTATATACCTTGACACTTTCTTCGTTGAGATGACAAATCGTTTTGTTTGGCGTTGTCCTACACTATAAGACAATGGTTTGCAGATATATTCTCATTCCACTTCTAGATGACATTATTCGAGTAACTGTTTGTAAGTGAAATGAACATATTTTTCAAAGAAATTATAAATAAATAAAATAGAATTGAAAACCCTTTACTACTTTTATATTCCATTGTTTTAAGGTGGCTATTTAAAGAATACAGTTATAGAAAAAAGAAACAGTCTCACGTATACTACATATTTATAATAGTTAATTAATGAGTTGATATGTCATTAATGCCGATTATAGTGCCCTTTAAGAATAACTAACAAACTAAGCCAAGTGGAACCGATTAAAGAGAGTTTACAATTACAGCCATGCTTCGGTATTTAACTTAAGCGTTTGGCGGAATTCCACAAAAAATGATAAATTACTCAAAACCGAACCGAAGCTTATAAAAGATGCTCTTCAGCATCTGTGATCTTCAGTTGAGCTGTTAAAGTTGATGAACGACAATTAAAGTGCGCGAAAACGTTGCTCTGAAAAGTGAACGCGTAGAAACTACTTTTGCTGGAAAAATCTTACACAAAAATAAATCTCAATTAAAAAGATATTTTTAATCAGATAAAAAACGTTAAGTACTAAAAACAAACTCGTCTACAATGTTCTGCTCAAACGTCCCGCGTTTTGTGCTACTGGCAAGTGCATTCTTCATAGCCACAATCGGTAAGCTTTCCATTGATATGTACCAGTGTAGGAAGCATCTGTGCGCGGTCTTCTAAGTATTCAAGCTGAGTTGAACCACCTAAAATTTTAAGATAAAATATGCATAGTTTTTTCACAGAATCACTTAAGTACTTCATTTCATATTCATTTATTCCAAATTAGACAATTGTTTTGTTTTGAAATCTGCGTCTGTAAGCTTCTATGTCTTCTTGGGAATTATTTTTAGAAACTGGCTCTGCATGACTCAAGCATGCTTAAGCATAGTCTAAACTGGTTTAGCGGATTCGATTCACATCGTTCATTGTTCATGCTATGCTTGTGTTTTCAAAGTCAAGTTTGGTTCTAAGTCATCAAGTGTGCCACCTTCGAACGGTGTTGTCTCTTATTACAGGCACAATATGCTGTTACGTTCTTGCCACTTCCTCAAACCGCTCTTTGCAAAGACCGCGTTTAATTAAAATAATTATTTAATTATTTTTTTTATTTTTAATAAAATGTGTTATGTCTAATAATGTTCTCATATGAACGAACGTACTTTTATAATATAAGTGTAAAATAATTAAATATGATTTTGCATTTCATTTAAAATTTATAAAACAGCAATTTTTTTTTGTTCCAAAAAACCAAAAAATAATATATTAAAGTTTAATGCAACAAAATTGTTTTAAACCATCTCTTGAGCTTATTCGCCAACTACACACTCGAAGTAGATAATTTGGGTCCCAAGCCATAAATCATCCTCAAATACATATTAACATTTAAAGCGCACTAACTTCGTGACTTGGTTAGATTATAATGGTGATACAAGAGACTTTCTGACACATTGTGCTACCATATAAAACTCGAAAAATGGTTTTTAAGAAAGGATCATGTATCCGACTAATATTCTCTAGAAAGTTAGTCCTTAAGTACTTTCTTCAGCCTCCTTATAGTTGCAGCAAAAATCATTAAATAGCAGAACCAATCTCCTTTTATGGCTTCCTAACCAAACTTGACCGGTTAACATGTCCACTGTAAGGTTCGTGTGCTACACAGTTGCCAGATATTTTTCTGTGTCCAGGCACCCATATGAGTTCAACACTGACCAGACTAGACAACTTATTGAGAGAAACCCGGCATTCTTGAACTACAATGGAGTTTGTCAATCAGAGATTTTAGAATATATCTTGGTAGTGACTTGATAGTCCAAATGCGATTTGGGTATAAATATTTATAGTCAATTGAATTGAGGAAATATTTTATTTCTGGACCATCAGTTTAAAGCGTTAGGTACACTTAGTAAAAACTTACCTTGTTGTTTTATCATGAGCCCGAATGACTATAGATAAAATAACCAGAATATAGCTTACCATAAAGTAACTAACAATTACAGATACTTACCATCCAAAGACTACCCTATATTGAAGGATAGGTTCAGGTGTGTAGAGTCTGAGGACGTTTTGTGGTTGGAGACCATATCTGAAGCCATCTGCTTCTCTACAACTGTAATTACCACACGCCGCTTTATGGGTCCTTTCAACCAAATTAGCCTTTCAGCTGAGTTTAGAGTCAGGAATGAGACCCAGTTATTAACATTAAGGCTTAAACTAAGCGGGATGTCATTGCTCTTACGAAAGTGGTATTTAAATGTAATGACGATGACTTTTGTTTTCGCTGGAGTTTATAATTAGTATAATTTATATTAAAAAGATCCATTTAAATATATAAATAAATATATTATAATTAAAAGAAACTTATAAGTGTATATCAGATCTCTAGTACTTATGTTTTACATTCGATTAAGTATCTATAAAGAATATTTCTTATTAAATAAAAATATCGTTAAAGCATACCCAATAAAATAATTTTATAAAGAAATAATAAAAAAAAACCATAACATTATTTCATTACCCCACTTTTTTAAACGAATAAAGTTTGATCTAAATAAACACTTACTTTTTGAGATTAAATAAATAGTGCTGTTATAGTGTTTTATTATAATAGCTGTTATTTTTACATAAAAAAAAAATAAAAGTGTAATATAATTCAATACAATATCTTATACTCAATTTAACTATCAGATTCATTGGCTGCTCAAAATAAATTTCTACTTTTACCTTTTAAGCTTTTGTTGAGCTTTAAAATTATTGTTTTGGCTATTTTTATGATAACTTCGAACTTAATCTGGCATTTACCTAAATTTGGCATAAAACCAATAATCACGAGTAAAAGTTTGTCGAGTCATTAAGTGTTTATCTTTGGGTTTCTGTTCAATTCTTCCAATTTATTTATGAGTTTGTCTTATTATAATTTCATGATTGCAAAATAAATACTCGTTCATACCCCCAAAAAATGTTTGCCAGATTGAAGTTCTTCCCGTCGACAATTACCGAGCTGCAGCAGATATTCAATCAAATCTTTGCGCAAAGCCATTAACCAAAATTAATAAAATAAATCGTAGACATGCACGATTGCCCAAATATGAGGCTCGATTTCAGGGCTCGATTGATGCCAACTTGTCCAGTACAAATAGCCATTCGGAAGTATAAACACCAAATCAAAATCCATTCTGCCAGAAATTATTGAAAAAAGACGAATGGAGGAAAAATCTTGATTTGCTGCACTTCGCTTTCGATTTGCACAAATCAGAAGATAAATTAACCAACTCGATTGATTCGCTTTGAGGAAATCAATGTTTCGTAATTATTGTTTATTTAAGATACACAAAACTATTTTCGTACAATGATTTATGATGTATAATTTTGTGTGCCCACCTCGCCCCCCTCATTGATTATTTGCACGATGTTCTGAAGCTCTTCAAATCGAAGTGAAGTTTAATCATAGTTAATTTCTGTTTTCGATCGAACATTTCCCAAACAATAGCCGTGATGGGAGTGATGTCATTAACAATTATAAAATTAATGAGACAATAATCAATAAATTTACACAAATATATAAAGTTTTAATTATTTATTTTAATATAAAAATTCAAAAAGACTTTACGACACATAAGCATTTTATGAGCCTCTACTTTTCTACATAAGATTCGTGAATGAATTTAGCTTCAGGTTCAAGTTAAACTGACAAATAATTTAATAATATTAAAATTTATTTGGTTTCTTGGTATCCAAACTAGTAACCAAGGTTGGATTTGGAAATTACTTAAAGTGCAGATCACACAGAGTACTGGATTTTGCAAAAATATTTCAAGCAGAACTGATAGCACTTAAAATTTCCGCTGATATTTTATTCAATAGGGACACGTCTCAAAACATATATCAGATAACGTACTAAAATCCAAGTAATAATCACTGTTTTTCATTCTTCATATATTAAAGTTAGAGTTATCCAGTCCTATATTCCATCTTTAAATGGGCTTAACAGCAACATCATTTCAGAATATAGAGACAATTATTAAAACTAGATAAGATAAGAGTCGTTATAAGATATTTACAATTATTATGCAAAATAATACAACATCACTATAGCTTAAAAATCGATAATAGGTCATTGATTATGCACTTCAATCAATCTTAGCATAGCTATAAGTTGCGTTGTGATTTATAATTGCTTATAATACTTATAGGTGCTGCACCATATCAGGAATTGATTCCAAAACCCGGATATGTAGCAGTTTACATAAGAGAGGGTAATACTCCATTGAGTGAAATACATCCCAGGTTGGCGGAAGCATTCAATGAAATCGAATCAGAATCACTTACTCTAGTGGTAAAAGAAATTAATTTTTAATAAAATAAAATATAATAATGACTATTTAATAGATGTTGAAATTAAAATACTTAGAAATAATTAGAAAAATATTAAATAAATAATTTGTTACATATTATAAATTTCAGTCCGATGAAAAGAAAGATGAAAAAGAAGCACCAGTAATTACTGCTGAAGAAGTAGAATCCACTGAAAAGAAGGAAGCATTAGCTGAAAAAGAAAATATCGAAAAGCCAGAAGAAATAAAAGAAGAAGAAAATAAGCCAGCAGAAGCAGTTCAATCGCCTCCAAACATAGAGGAACTAACACAGAAGGATAAAGAATCTGATATAGCTTCCTTTGACGTTGTCAAAATGGAGGATGAGAAAGTTGAAAATTGAGAATTAAAGAGCTGAGTGTTGCCATATACAATTGAGTAAATTAAATTTATTATAAATTGAAATCGATATTAAATTTTTTAAGTAAATAAAGTGAACCTTTAAATTATGTTTAAGCTTTAAGTAAATAAAAAAAAAACGAAACATTAAACTACAAATTGTAATTTATGGCGTTAAAGTTGAAGGAAAAAATTGGCGTAAAATTGCCACGTAATCTGGCCTTCTTCAAAACGCAATTATTTGAAAAGTAATTTCACTGCCGCAAATTCCGACAAGTACGCGTAAAATGCGAGCGAGCAACAACTTTGCAATTCACGCCGATGAGCGCACCTCGCGTCCTTCCACCCCATCGGGGAAGGTATTTCGGTTAAGCAATTTGGTTTTTTAATTGATTAAAAATCGAGGTTTAAAAAGTTTTCCGCATACGGAAGCGTTAACAAAAACAATACAAGTTATTAGCCGCACCCAAGCAGACGCCTGGGTTGTGGCATGGAATTACGGAAGGTGTAAAGTCATTGCCACGCGTTCCACGCCGCACTGTTGCTCTTCGTCGAAAATGAAATAAGTTTCTTTTAGCTTCAGTTTTCACCTACCGAAGCGTGTAATTATATTTAAATCTTTTGTGTTCCTTGGCAGTAAATTGTCTTTGGAAAATGACAAAAAAAAAATATCGGAAATGATAATTTCTTTTTATTTGTTTTACCTCAAACTCACACTTCTGTAGAGCAATCCAATAATTTCTATGATTGGTGGAATTAAAAGATTACCAAATGGCACCAATCAAACCGGAAAATATTCACAAGTCAATTTTGACGGATTACTTTCGCTGAATTCCAAGAAGTCCAAGACGGAATTCTGTTCTGGTCAAATTTTGATAAGAAAACAAAGGAAATACTTAATGTGAAAATTAAATATAATGTTAAAATTAAAATATTTAAAGCTTTAATTCTTCTCCTCTAAACTAAAGTCCTATAATAATTATTTAAAAAAGATTTTATCAATCGCAAGAATAACATTTGCCCACGAAAATCAAAAAAGAAACGTCATAAGTCAAGGTGAAATCCAAACCGAAAAGAAACCCCTTGACTATTCCACATATAGAAATCAATAATATTAATTAATTAATTTCACTAGTAGTAGCCAATAATAAAGAAAATTTATGGCAAAAGTGAAATTTCTTTGCCAATTATTAACGCAATTTATTTGGGAAGGAATTTTGTGAAAAAAAGCAAGGAAATCGACAATGCGAGGAGAATATCAGATAGTTTGCACAATGTCAAGTTGCTAAAATCTGCATGATTTATGTGGCAATGGCGTTGGCAACGCCATTGGTCATAGGTCTGATAATATCATCCTAACTGCGACACATTCCATACTCCAAGCAACACCATTCCACCGTTCCCCACACGCTCTTGCGCTAAAATGTAATATAATTAAAGCGAATTCGCATTAATTATCAAACGCACACACATTCATTCGCATAATCAAAAATTGTATCTATGTGTAGCTTTCGGATTTTACCCTTGAGCCTGCCACATATTTAAGATTATTCGGTACCTTATGCGACATCATAACTCACACTCGCATTCACACTCGCATTCACGGCCGCAATCCTCGCACATACTTGCACGTATAATTAATTTTCCATTCAATGTTGCATGGCAAATGCCTTCTTGCCTGCGTATCCTTTTTGTGCGACTGCTCGCTTATCCATTGGTCACATTACTGTATCCGGTACACTTTTAATTCCAATTGCTTAAATGCAAGCAAAAACGAGAAATAGTTCAAATTCTTTTTGGCAACATTGTCCAAAAAGTTTCATTCGCTTTTTATTTAGGACTCGGACTCGGTCTCGGAAGCGGACTCGCAATCGGACTGTGACTAGGAATAGGTTTTCTTGCACAAAACTGTTGCTGTTGCAAATAGTTTTTTCTTTTGTAGTTTTGGAAGGACTTTTGAAAACCATTTTGAAAGCTATTATGAGAGGTGTAGTTTTTTGGCAAAAGAAATTTTAATTTTAATTTTACACATAAATAGGTGTGGACAAAAACACTCAGTTTTTACAATCATTAATATATTTAAGTTGAAATGATAACAAATACATGTAAGTTCTTTACTCGGAATTGGAAAACCCTTAAAAAACATGGACTCTTTTCAATAGTTCTTTTTAGAAAAAAGATACACAATACCTAAACATATCGCCACAGCTAGAAAACGGGGAAGATTTGTTGGAATTAAAGACCAAAAGCTAGAACCACTCAAATCAAAGAAGTGACGTAAATTCGATTAATAACTCTTATTTGGAATTTATATCAGGCACGTAGCTATGTGGGAGCTTGAGGGGCTAAAGTCCTCTTTGAAAACAATCGCTGAACTATATTTATACATACAACGTGTATAGTCATATCAAAGCAAAAATTATTAATATTCTGGCTTTAGGTCTGCTACTCATAACTGTCTGCTGCACTTACACATACCTGTACCTGTTCAATATCGATTTAATATATTTATAGGGAAACATAACCCCATGAAACCCTTATCGTTGTAAGGCTTTTAATAAGGCTTACTTTAAGAGAGGAGTGTGTCATCACTTAATATGCCTTCCTAGATTACGCTAATGGTTAAAGAGTATCTTGGGTACATATATTATTTTATTTACTTGTTAAGTTCATAGATATCTTTCTTATGTTCACTATTATTCAATTGGGCATCCTTAAATCATTCGGGTCTATGAAAATCTTACAGTATATGCAGGGTATTAGTCTAAAAGTAGCCATAAAGTTAAGAATAATTTTATATTACAAAAGCTGTCGTTGATAAAGAGAATAGATAGATTTATTTATTAACAATCGTATGTTATTGTTGTTGTAACCCGTTGGGACCTGCTTGTGAAGTCCTTTTGGGGTGTGTAGAACGGCACTGGGTCGTCGCTGGCGACGAGTGGCTCCACGACGTAGACACGGTGGTTCTTAGAAACTTAACAATCTTATAGATTATTTTAGTAAATACTTTTACAATAAAGGGAAGTAATTAAAGGAAGAGTTATTTAGAAGTAAACGCTTATTATGAGAAAATTTTTGAAAATCTTATTCTATGTAGTTATTAACATCTTATGCCTCATATTCCATTTTTCTGAGTCCGCGTGCTTGCATATCTTCTTTCGCTGAGATGATTTCTTTCATTTTTTAGTATTACAATGTCTGGTTTTTGATATATATTTTAACCATATCACCTCGTAGGTCTTTATAAATATCTTTATATTTTTCTTAATGTTTTGTTTGGAGTATATTAAAAGTAAATTCATCAATTATTCCATACATCATACACCCATAGAAAGAAATGGTTTTATTATATAATTATGGATGAGTATTCGATATCTTAGGTACTGTTTATTATTGTGTATAAGGACAAAATAATTAAAGTGTATAGAAATTTCTTTAAGCTGATGATTAGTATTACCATGAAGCTAAATATTAAATATATAAACAGTATTTATCTTCTTATTCCATATACGACTCTAAAACTATTATGAAGAGGTGCAGTATTACAGTCACAGAGATCTGTTCTTAGTTTTTGAGCACCTTTAATAAATGTGATTATTTTATTATTTCTCTAATGGGAATATACAATACAATAGTCTACATATACTATAATATACTTAATCAGAATATCGTAACAAGAGTCATTGCTTGGAAGTTAATCATCGCTTCGTCTTTGTAAGAAAGCCTAAGGAAGTCATTTCCGGTCTACTCTGACTAACTACTCAGATACTTTGGATCGATTTTAAGGTTCTATTTCATCATTGATGCATGATCATTGGTTTCCAGTGATTTTCCATTGATTATAATAAAATCTATTTTTTACGAAAACTGCTTATCTTTTTGATTCTGTAAACTATTCACTCCAACAACTCCTTCATCGCATGGTGGACATTTTGAATCGTAACTAAGTCCTCCACAATTCCAACTGATGACATGTGTAGCAATTGATTATAGTAATTATTGAGTAATTGTTTTGTTGTTGCCGTTGTTGTATTCATTATAAAAGTTACTTTACGTTTTATCATTCGCGACATATTACAACCAACTTGCCAATCAGGAACGTGTCCCGGCAAAACTAAAAGTTTTATTTTCGCATTAGCACTAATCAGGAATGCTTGGACTTGCATCTGTAGGAAGAAAAATGCTGGAGCAAAAATTATTGTAGTTGAACCATTGAAAAAAGATTTTTTTAGAAAGAAATTAAAATCAAAAAAAATTCAATGTTGTGAACTCTTAACAGAAGAAATGAAAGAAACCTGAACATACTCGGAGTACTTTTAGAGATAATATCTGCGGGTACTTGTTAGCCATTGAATTTTAAAACATTTGTCCACGAAAATTTAAATTTAAGATGATATTTTGCAATCAACAATCCCAACCGCAAAAAAAATGTACTCAAAGATTGTCTGCACTAATTGGAGGGATGCATGAGGCAAGCTTGAATTGTCATAATTGACGCGTATTAAACTGATGCCGCAATTAAGGCGCTACACTTAATTGAACCGATTAAATACTTAATGGTCATTAATTAAAATAACACAACATTTACAAAGCATAAGGCAAAACAGATACAAGCTCGCAAACAGCACCAATCCCGTGCAATCCAAAGGGAAATAACGCCAAATGGTTTGTAATTATAGTGTTGCATTTGGGCAAATCGACCCAGGAGCCGCTCATTGCTGGATTTGCGTGCTTTTTGCGTTTAAGTGTGAAGCAGTAAAAGAAATTATTAGCTGATAACCACAAAAAGCTGAGAATGCCGCAATTGCCTCAATCGTTGCCAACATCCTACTTGGACCAGTTGTGGGCTGTTAATCGGCTGCTTCACTCTAATGAAACATGTGGCTGGCCAATGACGAATTACCGCAGCACAAACGAGCGACACTGAGACCTGAGAAGATTCGGTATGCCTACTGATAGTCAATAATGTTGCTCATCATTTCTTTTTTACTTCCTTCACTATCTCGATGAGAAAAGTATCTGTATCTGTCGAAATGACGCTTTTATTGTACGCACATTAAGCAGAAGATGGTTACGAATTTGGTTTAATTGTTGCAGCAACGCTTTATAGGCGCACATGTTTCTAATTGGAATTTGGCATCGCATCGAATTTAAGAGGCATCCATTTTTTATTAGCCTTGGAAAATATATCAAAATAAACTCATACTACCACGCAATCATTGGAATTTCTTCTTAAAATAGATCGAAAAAAAAATACTTGCTACAGTGAGTTACGATTTTCCTTGAATTTCTCATAGTTTTTAACTCATGCAGTTCACATCAACTTCATTTGGAAGTAACTTAAAAATTTTATCACGTGCGCAAATATTAGCTTTTGTCCATTGGCTTATCTGGCAGCTCGTTGCCGCTGCTATCGGAATCATTTTGGGTTTCTTAATTTTTCCAATTGAATGCTTTACGGTCACACGTCACACACGTTCTTACATTTTGGCACTTAAATGCTGCGTCCTTTGCTTGACTCTATTGACACGCCATAATATTGTCCACGCCATTGCCAAGCAATTTTTGCAGTGCATCCCTCTTTGTCCCAACCAAACCAAACAAGACAACCACCACTCTCAACCGGTCAGTCTGTTGCAATGCTCCAGTTCCTTTCCTTTAGCCCGGTAAGCCATCTTCAATCTTAATATTCCGCACTCTTCTCACAGCCTTTTGTTTTATTCTTCATTATTACTTTTTTAGCGCTCTACGATTTCGATTGTCTACATTGCCTTCATCTTTTTATTATTGGCACTCGTTCCGTCCATGCGGAGTCATCTTGCAATGAATAATTGCACATGCTTGACTTCATACGCGTTGCGAGCAGTACTCGATACTGTCCACTGTCATTTATGTGCTCTGCATGCAAATTAATCCAATACGAATTTCATACCTTTAATTGCATTTATGTGATTGTCAAGCATTTTCGGGCACTCTTCCCCCTCTCGAGCCATTCCATTTTATTGCCACTTTTTTATCGTCCAAGGTACGCCATTTACATTTTACATTTTAATTGAAATTGAGCAGATTACTCGCCTTTGTGAACTGTTATTGAATATGTAGCGAAAACGGCGTAGGTCCTTACAACCCCCATAAGGATAAGGGAAGTAGTTTTAATCGAATCAAATCGGCATACATTTTTTATCTTTTATTTTAATTGCATTTATACTTTCTAGAAAAAATCAAAATTTATTGAACTTATTCCTTCCCCAATAGGCACTAAGTTATTTTGTGAGATTATCAAGTAAGGCTTCAATGGATTCGATGCCACTCTATTTAGGCTTGTAGCCAAAAAACTAACTTCGGAAAGCTTTCAGACAATTTTAGTCATTTAAAAAAAATTGGTATAATTAAACAGACATGGTGCATTAACAATGAAAATAAATCTACATAAATATATTCCTTCGATTCATTTTAGCCTATATACCTGGATATCTATCTATCAAACCAATTTATTTAAAATATTATTGCAATGATTATTTTAATATTTAATAGTATTTCACTATTGTGATCCTCTATTTAGTAAGAGGATCAGTATCTACTATCATCTACTATCTTAACGAAGAACGGTATACCCTTCCATACTCTCATCTAAATTTCATCTATGAGAATTAGATTGAGCAGGTTAAAAATGTTATTTTCTTTATAGAAAAAATAGATTACACTGATTTAATCTAAATTTTTGTTTGACTCTACTTACTTCATGTATGAACTGACTAATCTGATGTACATTTCAATTTTATGTCCGATTTCGTTATACTTAACTTATTGAAAAATAGTGGAAGATATCTTTAGTGTAACTCAGTTAAAAATTTGAGAGTGTTTATTTATTGAAAAGGAAATAAAACGATTAATCTACCATAAAAAGGAGCATAAGCTGCCGGGGACATATGTTTTAAAGAGAAATAAATTTATAGCTATCAGTGTTTAATAAACTCCACTTAAAAAAATGAAAACTACTGGTTCTAAATATGATCATTTCTACTCTTTATTGACAATTTATATTTAATTACTCGTAATACGCCAAGGACAATTTATTAGAGAAATAAAAACCTCCCACAAATTGATTAGCCTTAGCAGATGCTACTGATCAATGAAATAAGCTGGAATGCACTTTAGCCTTCGATTTTAACCCTATGTAACACTAATTAATATGAAGCCATAATAATGCCACCTTAGTGGTGCCAGACACAGTTAGCTTTCCATGTCACAAAAGTGACAAACATCAGAATCGGAGAGATCAAATCAATTTAAATGATCCCACACGTTGCAGCGGCCTGTAAAGCAACCAGACAGAATCCTTAAGTCTACTATTCTTAGCGAAAGTTCCGTATTTGTTATTTCCTTTCCTGGAATGAGTAATTATTTTATTGACGTTAGCCCAAAATTATTAAACCAGTAGTTTAGAAATTTCTTTTCCTCCTATATTCTGATCATTTTATTTAATTTGGATGAGTTCACTGAATATTTCAGAACCAATTAATGCCGATGATATAATGTTACTTTTATTGAAGAGGGGGATTATCCAAGCTAGAACTGACAGCTTAACTGAAATTGTTGAAGAAGTTGGTTTGTAATACCAAGAGAGTTGCGCTAATTAAGCAACTACATCATATCAGATGATGGTGCAACCACTCGATATGTGTACCAGGATGTTCAAAATCATCTTCGAACTATTATCCCAAATATCTAATCACATACACGATTCCTGCCACTACACTTATACATAAAAAATACAGAAGTTATGCCTAAAAAAACTTCAGAAAATCCCTCAGATGCACTTGAAATATTCAGGAAATGGAATGCCAAACTATCTTTTCCAATGATAGAACCCATCTCAAGTATTTTTATATTTGCACTGTATGTCAAATTAGAGTGTATATCATCATACATTTCAATCAGATTTATTAGCGCTGACATCTTTTTCGCCTATAGAATATACCAAACTTATACACTACAAGTACCATTACTACTCACCACAACTTCATCGAAAAAGGTATATCTTCAACATATGTATAATTAACAATGGGTTGATAATTGCTTTAATTCATATTATTGTATTTACTAATATAATATAATATTTACTAATATATAATATAATTATAAGAAATCGGCTCCGCTTTAAATAAATGCTTTATTTAAAAAGATAATTAATTTGTTTAAATGCTTAACTTTTCCTTTTTGTAGTCTTTTATATAGTTCAAAACTTCATTTGGTTCCAATTCCATAACTTTATCACCTCTATGAACTTCTAGTTTTGGTTGAGCGTCTAAGCTTTTACTGCCAATGACCACAATTAATGGATAACCCATTCTGTAAACATATACATAAATAACATATGATGAAACCAAAAAGAGCAAACTAATTTAATTACTTTTTAGAGTCCATAAGTCGCTTGCCAATGGTCATGTTCTTACGATCTTCATAAAGCACATCTTCACTACATATGTCCTGCAACGACTTACTCAATTCCGCTTCAATTGCCTCACCCGCTTGTTGCTCTTTGCTACCTTGCTTTGGACTGATAATACAAACATCAAATGGTGCTAGCAGACTTGGCCAACGCAATTCAGTTTCCGTTGAAAGCACTTCGAGCGATGCAGCAACTAAGCGCGTAATGCCAATACCGTAACAACCCATAACTAACGGCGTAGATTTGCCTTTGTTTGGTAAAAATGTGGCACCTAACGGTTGAGAATACTTATCGCCTAACAGGAACGCATGACCAACTTCGATGCCACGCATTTCTTTTAAATCTGAGCTTGAACATTGTTTGCAGGTCTTCTCTGTGTTTTCAACTTCAGCATTAGTGGCATGTCCACAGCTATTACAGCGATTAATAATATCTTCTCCCGTATCGGATATATAATGGAATTCATGCGAGAGTTTGCCTCCCATCATACCAGTAGCAGCTTCAACTATTTAATAAAATTAATAAATAATTAATGTTCATTACATTGCAAAAGACCGCAACACAAACCTTTTTCGAATGGAACCTGCAAGCGTTTAAACAGAGCACTATAAGCTCCAATTACTTGTTCATAAGTATCTCGTGCTTCTTCTTGTGTGCTATCAAAGGTGTACATATCCTTCATAAGGAACTCTTTTGCACGCATAAGTCCGAAGCGTGCTTTTAGTTCATCTCGAAACTTTGGTCCAATTTGATATAAACGTAGTGGTAGTTGACGGTATGATATAGGCGCTGTTGTCGCTAACATAGCTGTTATGGCTTCTTCATGTGTCTATAAATCAACATTGACACTAACGAAGGCGAGTGAAAATTAGTAACACAAATACTTACTGGACTCAATAAAAACTGCTTACCGTGACGATCACGTAACATGTAAAATTCATCAATATCATTGTCCAAGCGTCCGGTTTTCTGCCATAGTTTAGCTGCTGTCAACACAGGTAACGTGATGTGCTGTCCATCAATTTCCCTCATTTGTTTGTGAACTAAAGCGATGCATTTGTCCAGCGAACGTTGTGCCAGCGGCATTATGTGAAATGTGCCATTGTTTGCCGGTCTTATTAAGCCCAAATCTGTCATCAACTGTATTAAACACAAATATTAATTTACCCAAAACATTTAGAAGTACTTTGTTACCTTTTGACTGCGAGAAATTCCTTGCACATGTTTAATAACTGCATTTTTTGGTGTTATTATCAAAGGCCAAAATAATTTTGATGTTTTGTTCATGTTTAGAAATCAGCTGTTTCATGCTTGTTCTTATTGTACGATATTCACAGCGCAGTGACTCGGTGCAGTGGCTATAAAATTCGAGACTCGTTTATGGAAGCTATTAATAAGTTCGTTTTATTTGTAAAAACATTTCTATGTTCATATTTAGATATCAATATAAATACTTTATATAAATAACATTCTCAGATTTTTAATTTTAAAACTTATCATATAGATATACTTATGCTTATATATATTCATAGAAGGTTATATTTGGGTTGAATATCATTTCGTAATTTATTCGTGTATATGTTCAGTTTATAATACGTGAAAATTTTTTTGATTATCATAAATAACTTATCAAAATAATAACAAAAAGCAATATATCAAAACAATAAGATAAAAAATGTTTACCATTGCTCTTCTATTATTCATTTTGTTTTCTATTATAGATATTAATTAATTAATTAAATTTATATCATATTGTATACTTGTGCACCTGTACATTTTTTTCCAACCAGACTTAATGCTGTTTTTTTACAACTCTGAAAGGAAAAATGTTCTTACGTTCTTACTGCGACTAAATGAATTCATATTCGTTAAAGGAAGATGTGGTCGTATCCATTGGCATAAGTTGATTTATGCATGCGAAAGAGCTTTTATGTGTCAGAAACTTCTGAATCCTAAACGAGCTTTTGTTTATTTATATTTGAATTGGAAGCAAGTAATATGTAGTTTTCTGTTGCTTACAGAAATTAATTATTTAATCAGGAAAACGCATAAAATGAAAAAACTTTAGTGCATATTATTTATTTTTATAAAACAACATTTTAATAAATTCGTTCTTCTTGTTTGTTTGAATACATTTTTTTTAATAAAATTATTTTGCCTATATGATATCTTCTCATTCCCTATACTTGGTGTGATAGATTTGATTCACACAACAATTTGCCAAATAAAACGTATTTTAACTGGGTGGCAACCCTATTGAATGACATTTCAAAGCTAAAATAAATTGCGTGGCATCCTCTTCGACCGCATTGATTTGACAATTTCTGTTATTCGCAAATGTGCTGCAAAATAATTGAAAATGCATAGCGATTTATATAAAAAAAGTTTACGGAATGAAGACCTGCAGGAAGAGAGACGCAATAAGCAGTTACAGGAGCAGAAGCGCCTTCGAACTGCCCTACAAGACGAACATCGTCAAATTTCAAATGTTGACATTGCAGAAGAAATTGAATTGCCGAAGCGTTATTTTGACAGCCGGCGGAATAAGGAGTTTACAAAAATAAGGCCAATGGATTCGGAGTGGTTGTGGCAGCGACCTAGTGATTTACAGAATTGGCTGATAATGCCGTACCCAAAAGGACAGCGTTGCATACTTATTGCTGAAGGCGCATGCACTAGAATCTATACCAAACGCGGTAAACTGTGTTGTATATTGCATACACGATTTCCTGGTGATTTGATGAAGCCAGGAAGCGGGACCGTTGTCGACTGCGTATACAGCAGAGCAGATAACACAATTTATGTCATAGATATGTTGGCATTCGGTACTAATGATTTGGTTAACTGTGAAGCGCAGTTCCGGTTCTTCTGGTTGAAATCGCGTTTTCAAGATTATGAAATTGACTTGGACAATGATAAAGGAGGCAAGAAAATTGTTTTACTAGATAAATATGACTTCGCATATATCGATAGTGTTGAAGAGACAGTGAAACGCTTTCCATACTGGCCTGATAATAAGCCAAAATTGGACGGTTTCGTTTTTTATCATAAAGAGTCGAGTTACGTCTTCGAGCGCACACCGCTAATGTGTTGGTTGTTTCCTTATATGATAACTGATGTGCTAGGTATTCCAAGCAGCATAAGGTACAAAAAACCTACGGATTATATAGGAGCAACTCAATATATGCATTTTCTGAATGAAAACGAAATGAAAAAAATTAAAAGAAATAACGAGAAATTAAAGTCTGAACCTATGGATGCTTCACTTCTAATAGAAATGAGTGAAACAAGTGACATCGAGGTAGATAGTTCGGTAGAATTAGTGCCAAACGATATATGTACAACAGGTGGTATGGAGTTGGACAGTTTGGAAGAAATGTTAGCAGCTGAACGTAGTTTAGAATTGGAGGGAAAATAAATAGTATTGCTCGCCTGGATGTGGGAGGGTGGGTTTTTGCTTTCAAAAGGATTTTTGCATCTGCGCAATGCAACACAAAAATATATTTCTTTTAGAAACCTTTTGTTGAAACTTTTAATATAACAGAATAATTCCACAATTAAGCAAAGTAAGACATTTTGATAAACTCTAAAAATTTGTACTAATATTTAACAATTTCAGATTACACTCAGACTTGCTCTCAAATCTCAAAAATTTATACACTTAGCTCCAGAGGGGAAATAAAAAATATAAATATATCACAGAAACAAAAATGGTTATACAGCGAAGTTGGAAAATTTTAAGTGAACCTGCCTCCGCTTCTACAACAGACGCTAATAGATCACCCGCTGGCCTCCATTCTTCATCAGACGATTCAAATTGTTCCAATCAAACAACGCATTCAATGGTTACGAGTGTGGCTAGTCCACCAACAGGAAAATTTGACGGTGTCGCTTCAATGGCAAATGAAAATGTGGTAACTCTTTTGTTGTTTAATTCGATTAATATATATCTTAATATTCATTTTTTATTTAAAACATATAGAAATTTGTAACAACGCCTCAAATGGCTGAAAATATGTTAAAACGTCTACGGCAGCGTTTAAGTTGTCCTGGGGCAACAAGCAGTTCAAATGCAGAGAGTGCTGTACGTTCTCTGGAACTGCTACGCATATCTGTACAAAACGCATTTGACAAGGAAATTGATGGAATTGTGAAGCGCTTTATTGAAGTAAGTTGTATTCAAAACATATCACTATGGTGAAATTGAAAAATTATATCCACTTACTATATAATTCAGATTACCATATATTGTAAATACACCTATTACTTTTTTTATTTACAGAACTATTTTAAGCCTGCTTGCAATAACATTAAGAGTAATATGGGTCAAAATTCTTTGTCGGATGATGTGGTATGTACTTGCATTTGATATAATCTGCATATATTTTTCTTACGTTCACTCCATTATAGTTGCAGAAAATGTCTTGTGCATTGCTGGAGAACTCAAAAGCGCAATATAATGCTTTTCGTGTAAAACAACCTGTCGCTTTAAGCAACACACAGGCAGCAACACCAGACCAAACGATGCGTATGACCCTCAAACGTCCAGCAGCAAAACCAATTGGCTTAAATGAGCTCTCTAAAAAGTTGTTGCCAACTACGGTGACTGTGACAACACAATTACAAGCTGCAGCAGCAACAACAACAACGGCAACAAATCGTGCTCCACCAGTACAAACACAACCAACACGCGTTCCAGCAAAACCTGTTACTGTGACCCCAGCACGTCGGCAAATATTTTGGAATACTGCACACATATCAACGGCAACCAAATTCGTGCTCGATGTACAAGCCAATCAAGCATTTGGTTTTGGTACTGATGGTAAAGAGCGTCTAGCAAGCAAACATCCGGAGTTGATACGTTACTTACCGGATGGCGAAGATCGCGAATGGTTAACTTCACAAAATATCATTTCACAACAAAATCGTAATTCTCGTTTTCTGTTTCTTATTCACGATGAAGTCTGCCGCCTGCAACAGACTAATGACGTATATCGCAACAAACCAAACGTCAACTTGAACTGCATGCATAAATTCACTGTTCCCGAATTTATGATACAAAAGATGAAAATATTTTTCGTAGATTTGAACATTAAAAGTCGTGGTTTAATAACAAATTCCTTTTCTGTGGGCACAATGCAAAGCAACAGCCACCTAAGAAATGCTCTACTTCAAGGTGTGAACAATAATACCACCGGGACAACGGAAACTATTCCTAATAATGCAAATGTCAGCAGCTTATCTGCAACTTTGCCTATCGTTGCAAATGACAATGCCACCGTCGATGTGCAGTTGCAAGTTAAACCGAAAGCCAGTACTTTGAGTTCCTCCCATGCTACGCTAACTGCTTTACTCAATAACGCCATAAGTAGCTCCAGTTTGTTAAGTTCAAATGAGGATTTAGCAGCCAACAAGCTGCATAAATAAGTAAGTGCAATATGGTTAAATCCGAAATAAAATTAAAATTTAGATGACTTAAAATTTTTTAATATATAATGATTTATTGTATATTTCAAAAATAAGAATTGGACCTGAATGATAAATTCTTCAATATGTATTTTATTCTATTTTTAAGAAGCAATAAAATGTAACATTAATTATAGTCAAAGATTAATTTATGTATTATTTACTTTTAGTTGAATACAGATCTTAATAGAAAATAGATCTCGCAAGTCGCTGTGTACAATTGTCCTTTCAGCAATGATTTGTTCTAACATGAAACCCAATATTTATAATAATGTTTTTTTCCTTCCACTTACAAATTGATATACTTTTGAGAAATATAGAAAGAATATTGTAAATAAAATATTCTATGATTGCACATAAAACATTCTAGACTATATACTTTATGTAGTATATTCTCTACTATATATTCAAGCATATGTTTATACCTGAATTAATTTCCAAGTATATTACGTTTTTATAGACGAATCAAGTTATTTGTAAGATAACGGATGAAAAGTTAGATTTCAATTTTTACTGAATCCAAATATTTCTGTCGAGCACTGGTGTTATATTTTGGTATGACGTCGTTAGCATACACACATCTTACATGATCTAACATAACAATATATCCACAATGCAGATTGACACTACTCTATGAGATTATCATATGTATGTTCGGATCTCTGCAACGCTTTTTTTGTTGACTTAAAGAAGAGGACTGTGGAATATATCTGCCTTAGGTTTTAGAGAGAAAATCTTGGAATATAACTATAGAGAAATAAAGTTCCTCTCCGAAATATATCTTTAGGTCATCGGAAAATAAGCAATATTTGGATTAATAAAATTGTTTTATAGAAAGGTTTCGAACAGTAGTAAACTACAACAATAAAATTTGTTCAATATTTTAATTAATTGAATTTTTGGCTGAACATCTAGGTGTTTCGAGTATTGCCAAATAACAATTTTTAGAAGTCTTGGAATTATTTATTATATTTAATTATTCGCAAATAATTTTTTGAGACTGCAAGTACTAAGGTCAGTCAAAAACTCAAAATATTAAAAAATTTTTGTTATTGTAGTCACTACTGCTCCAAATCTCTCTATGAAATATAATAGTTTCTAACAAGTTAACTAGTCAGTCACTACCGTCATAACTGACGTCAAAATAAAATAAAATAATTTTAAAATTAAAAAAATTTCAATTTTTTACTGCAAATGCAAATCTTCTGTGACTATGATGATAAAATATTCCCCATGTTATCAATATAAATACCAACAAATCTTCTGTGACTATGATGATAAAATATTCCCCATATTATCAATATAAATACCTCTCTAACTACAAATCATTTCCATTTGTTCTGTATATATCATTTGTTCTGTTGATCATAAATACCTATTATTATTTAGGGTTTCTGTGCTCACAATCTTTTGTCTTTAATGTTGTAACCCGACTTAAGGTTCAAACAATCCCTGAAAAACTTACAAAACTTAAGTTTACACTAGTCGTTCTTAAGTCTAAAAAGCAACTATTGGGATAAGAGTCGGACTTGGTGTTGATAGACTTGAAAAGAGAATTTTTTATACTAAAACACACTTTGGTGCAATCCTGTCTATGCAATGTAACACGCTGACTCTTCCGAATCAGTTATTTTAATTTCAAAAATATTTTTAACTCGAAAATGCTTGTGATTGGATTTCTATAGAAAGTATTTTTCTTCTTAGCCTTAATTCTAACGACACTTTTATTTTATTTCTGCTTTTATTCTTTTTATCCTGAGGTCCTGGGAATGCGTAAACAAGTTAATGTGTCTAATCTTATTTAACTTGGAAAATGATACCACATTCCTAGTCGTTCTTACTCCAAATTGTGGCACAGTTTCTACATTGCATAGTTACCTGACATCCGATGGGTAATGAACTAATACTACGTACAGTGAGTCCTATTATTAGGACTTTAAGTTTCGGTTATGCAGAAGGTTTGCCATCCGTAACGTAAAATCAGTCGCTGTTGAAGGACGTGAACTCTTTTATTCCTTCCTTGAATGTCGGTTTTTATACATTCATTTTTTTTACTTATTAGTTCTGCTAATTGTGTTTTCAATGTTAATTAATTATTTTATTTCATTCAGCTACCACCATTAACGCTAAATTTTTGTATTCTTAAGTTCCTTAAGAGTCATCCATACAAATTTTTAAAATTCCAAGTGTCTGCTAGGAACTACAGTTTTCTGAGGTCAAATGTAACAATCCATCAATAAAAAAAAGTTTTTGTAAGTATCAAATTCCTTATAATTTTGGGGCACCTGTTTAATTTTTAGTATTACTATAAAAAATGGATGTACTCTACATATAAGCAGATCAAAGGAAATTCAAATTTATTCTCTTCTTCATATTCCTCTACATAAAAGTGATAATATAAACACTTTTCTTGAAATACGAGTGAGATGCATCTGCACATATTCTGAGCACACACTCGTCTCTAGATTTGTGGTGTTCTCGTATTTGTTGTTTCACAGTTTATTTCGGCCGTAATAGGCCTACACAGTAAATGTGCAGATGTGGATACGGAGTATGGCATCATTATTTTATAGTAGCGCAAACAGTTAACAAATGCTTCCGAGCATCGATCGAGTGAATGAATGCTTAATGCAAAGGCGTAGGAGAAGCGAGGCAGTTTGCAATCCACTATACGCGAATAAAATCGCCACTTTTATAAGTTTACAGTTTTTTCCATACGAAACAATAAAAAATTGAATTGTGTGAGCTGTGAGTATCGGAAGACGCAGCAGTGAAAACGTCTAAAGTCATAAAGAAATCGTGTGGAAGTATGTGTGATGTGCGGCCAAGAAGATGGTCAATGAAATTTTGGAATTTGCAGTGCTTTCACAGTTGGAAAACGAAAGCAGAAGCATTCGGTGATCGGTTGTTGAAAAAATCAGAACAAAAAATACACAAACATGAGTTCCGCCATTGTTGTAAGTTTTCGAAATCTATTACTGGATTACTGGAGACATACAATATTATAGCAATATTTTTTTTTTATTTTTTTGCAACTTTAGGATGAAGATCTTACTCCTGAGCAAATTGCTGGTAAAGTCCTTTTTCATCGTATTTTTTTGAAATGATAATAATAATTGTAATATTTTTAGTGCTCCAAAAGGCCTTTAACAGTTTCGATCACCAAAAAACTGGTAGTATTCCAACTGAAATGGTTGCCGATATCTTGCGTCTTATGGGTCAACCCTTCGATAAGAAAATCTTAGAAGAACTCATTGAAGAAGTTGATGAAGACAGTAAGTTAATTTATATTATAAAAGACTATCATATTTCTTATACGTGTCCTTATTCCTCACAGAGTCTGGACGCTTGGAATTCGGTGAATTCGTACAACTGGCTGCCAAATTCATTGTTGAGGAAGATGCTGAAGCCATGCAAAAAGAATTACGTGAAGCCTTCCGTTTGTACGATAAACAAGGCAATGGTTTCATTCCAACCACCTGCTTGAGAGAAATTCTCAAAGAACTTGATGATCAATTGACAGAACAAGAATTGGACATTATGATTGAAGAAATCGATTCTGATCGTTCCGGCACTGTTGATTTTGATGGTGAGTTATTATTATTACTAATTTTGAATTAATGCTTGCAGTGACAAAAAATATAATCTTAACAAACTATATAGAATTGAAGTGAAATATAAATATGTGTATAGTAGATATTTCGGTAGAAGTCTAAGCAATATTACTTATTCTATTGCAACTTTAGAATACATATACGAATTTCCATATCTTTTTACGCCATTTAATGTCTTATATGATTATTTAATTTAAATCAACATATATGAGATATAATCAATAACTATTTATAAATCTTATAACGGTTTATCTATCTGATATACTATTCTATTATTACATTTTTATTTACGATGTACGGTTTGTCATGGAACAGATTTTTAATCCCACACATTTGTCATAATTTTGCTGATGGAATTTTTATCACGATCACATCATATCAAAATTCCTATCAGATTATCGCCCACGAATAGAAAGTCTTTATTGTTGTTTATAAAACCATATATATTAAATTGTATATAAAAGCAAGGTTGTGAGAGTTAATTATGCAGGTATTTAGTATGTGTTACGTGGAGAGATGCATTCTACTTAATTTATTGACTTCGGAAAAGATTTTTCCGGTGCGATAAAATTTTTCTCTCATTAATAAAATTTTAAGATTTAAAAGTGCTTTTGTTATCATCGTTGAAATTTGCAAATGTGCTTATAAATAAATAAACCATACAGACTAATTTAAAATAAATAAAGGAACCATACAGATTATTGAGTTTAGTTTTTATACATATATAAGATTGAGTGTTGGTAATAATTTTATTTGATAAAGCACAGTTGTAGTTGATATAATTTGAACAGTAAAACCTTCACTGAGAAAAATCCGATAGATCAATGTCTTTATGAATGGTGGACTTCTACGAATTCTGTCGATAAGAGGATTTTCAACTTTAAATTAGAGAATCTCAGATGGTGCCTTATAATACATATGACTTTCAAATAATAATTAGCTGGTACATTGATTTTTAGTTTAAGCAATATAATTTTTTAAACCAAGTCTCTACATGATTTATAACAGACCATTATTTGAGCTCAAGTCTGCCACTTAGACCCATTTTAAGGCACTCTGATTTTTTGCATTTATAATTGCAGAACTAGTTTAATTTATTTTATTTCCTATTTATTTAAATTCTATTTATTTATGTTGAAGCTATTTGAGCCAGTACACTTAAGCACTTTTACTTTTTATTAACTCGAGGTATCTTCAAAACCCCTCTTTACGCCTTGACTGGATTATTATTTATCACTTCATCAGACCAAGCTTACGACTAAGTGTTTATTTATTATTAATTTTTTTTACTAAACCGGTAAATCAGATAGTTAGAAAACCCTAAAAGTGTTTTCTATGTATTTTATACTTCTATATTTTTTAATATTTTAGTTTTGCTAATAGCTAAGCAAAAAGCGATTCCGTACTTTAATTTATAGTAAAATTGTAGTAGATTTTTAAGCCTTAATATCCGTCATCCACTAGAGCCACATCTTTCTTCAATCCTGCCTTCAATCGCCAACTTGGGTAGACCACATTTTTCTGACTGCTCAAAGATATCACCGAACTATTCCAGTTTTTGGTATTTAACTACCTCCAATATTTCTTTTTCCTTTCCTTATTAAATTTGTGACATGCTCTGTCCAACTGATTCTTAGCATTCGTTGATTACACTACATTTCGATAGTTTTAAATTATTCATCGAAACAAAAGTTAGTGTTCACATATCCATTAGTATTGATAGCTCTGATTACCGATAATGTTTAATATTTTAGGAGTTTCATTCACATAGAATAGATTCTTTACAGCATCGCAATCATACTGTTAGATCTATTTAGAATAATTAATTTTTTTAATTAAAGTTATTTAACGAAATAAATGATCAAACCTACTTGTTTTATTTTAGACTTAATTGGTTTGTGTCAGACAAAATTGGTTTATATCAGATCTAATCGGAAATCTAATGTGTAGAGTGAAGTTAAAAAAAAAACAAAAACAAAATTATACATTTTGTTAATTATACTCGTAATCAATCGAAATGTGCAACTTGAATTCTTAATTCCCAAATAAGTGATATATTAATTTATAATAATAGGTTTATGCTAACGTTAATGTTGGATTGTTCAACTGGTGTTTCGGTTCTTAAGTGCAATTAGTGCTTTCTCACCATTATAGATACCACATACTCGTTATCAACTATTTAGTCGGTTGTTTAATATTGGCTTTTCCAATCAGTGCGATCTATACTCTCTTGATTTTAATTTATTGTAATCAGTTACAGCCAGCGTTAATGTTGGTAGTTTTAAGTGGTGACTGGGTACTGGTTCCGCAAGTGCACTTAATGAACCCGCCGTTATTGATATCCAATTCTCGTAATTAACTGTTCAATCGGTTGTTTGGATGGATAGTTTCAATCCGCGTGGTTTAAGAAACTCTGAATGTTTTTGATATTAGATTCCGTTAGCTTCTCGAGATTATTGAAGCGTTTGGATTGACACTGTCAATCCGTGATTTAAGAAACTCTGAATATTTTTGATATTAGATTCCGCTAGCTTCTCGCGATTTACCCATTTATTATCATTATTATGTTAAGTGAAGTCTATAGATGATGTTAATAGATTATGTTATTTGCTCACGTTAATATGTTTTAGCAATAGATTATTAGAAAAAAAAAATGTAACACCACATTCTATAGGTGAATAAGAAACCCATATATTTTTTCTTATATTGTTCTATAAATTATTTCGAAATTAGAAAAAAAAATCTGTTTTCGATTTATTTAATAAAATAATGTCTTTGTGGGTGGGGGGAATAACAAATGACATATCTGACAACAAATTAGTTTAGGTGTTAAAAACCTCAAGTGTATATCTCGCGGCCTGTATCTAGTGTACTGAAAAGTATAAATAAAATGATTTTAATGTGAAAATTGCAACAAAATCTGTAGACAATTAAGGAGAATATAATTTTGCCTGCCACCCAATTTATAGATCAACTCTTCACATACCGCTTCACTGCCACGCGTCCCGTTGCAGTAAATGTTATTAAATAATATTCTCAACTAATAAAAACTAAGCGAGAAATCATCGCAAAGTCTATGGAAATTTATTGGTTTGGCGTTGAATGCTTCACTTGTTAATTAAAAATGATTTTTATTACATTTTTTTTTTAAATTCAATTTTTTTTTTTTTTATTATTTTTGATTTGATGTAGCCGTTGCGTCTTTGCAGTTGTTTTCGCACAGTTCGAAAAACTTGCCACACAACACATTTTCGAACTCGCAAACACACATACACACGCTGTTGTTTTTAATTATTTGTTTGAATTTTTATATCAAATTACTATAAAAAAAAATTATTTATAATTTATTTTTGTTTTCTTGTTTTTTTTCTATTTACAGAATTCATGGAGATGATGACCGGAGAATAAATTTTTGAATTTTTATTTTGGAAATCATTTCAACACAAATAAACACAAATAAACAAACTGACACATGCATATCAACGCCAACACATATAAACATAAACACATACATACAAACACACAACACACACACATACTCACATACACACAATAAACAAAGATTTTAATTACTCACAAAAAAAAATATTTTTCTAACATTTTTTTATGAGATTTTTTCATCATTGGATGCACTTCTGAACTGAGGTGCACTGCTCCATTTCAAAATGACAATTCAGTTTTGTGTAAAATTTTTGTAAATTAAATAAAAATTAATAAATATTTTTTATTTTTCGTGTTTCGAATTTTTAATTATATTAATTTTTTTATTTTTGTTTTTTTTTATTTGACTAATTACCAAAAAAATACAATTTGCACAAAATTTATTTAATGCATTTGTTTACAATATTTTATTTATTTAAATATTTATCTTTACAGTATATCAATATATATATATATATAATATATATATTTACATATAAATTTATTATATTTGGCATTCCTCGTGAAAGTGCAGAGATTTTGTATTGTAATTGCTCTTTTGATAAAAATTTATCAGGCGTGAGACGTCACAGTCACGATCTGGATGGTGGCGCATGTGGAGGGGAACGACTGCTTTCAACGTGCAGTTGCCATTTCGGTGATTAGGTGTTAACTGGTGTTAAGTGGCAGTTAATACTTCAATTCGCGCGGTTGTTGGTCATTGCGGTGCTGCGGTTACTATCGAAAAAAGTTTGGAGGCAAATTTAGTATCTCATCGTCGGTCGTTCTTCGTTCTTCGTTCGTCGTTTTCGTCTTTGTTGTTGTTGTTCTCATTGTTGTTGTTGTTGTTGTTGTCGTAGTTGTCGTCGAGTAGCGTTAATGTTTCGCTTACCTTATTTAAATTATCGCGCCGATCTGAGCGATACTATAGGATTGAAAAAATCCGGGAGTGTCGCAGATATGCCCAGCAATAGTAGGTATGCCAATACATTCTTCCTTATGGAACTTAATGTAAGTGCTAAGTAGCTAAGCGTTTTCTCTTCCAAAAATTAATTTAATAATGGAAAATTTATATTAATTTTCCTCCACTGATAAAAGAAATCCATTACGAAACGTGGGCTTTTGAAATAATAAAGACGCAGGTGTAATAATTTTTTTTTAGATATTTGTATTACTCAACTTAAACTATAAAAATTATTTACTCGCTGTGATAAAAACCAATTAATCTATTAATAATTCTAAAACAAATATAACTTAGTGTATTTAATTTTATGCGATGTTAACAATGATAAAAAAAGTTATTAAAAAAATAATCTAATTTTGTTATTTACTGGAATATATATCGTGTGTGTGTGTGTCAAGCGTATAGCACTCGCGAGGCAAAAGATATAAGGTGTGTGATATTAATTAAGATATCAGAAGTATAAACGGGGAATCCACGAGTTTAAAGAGAATTAAGTCAAAATGATTAATGTCGGTGTATAAAAACAACAAATAAAACTAATGCCATTTTAGATTGGAAAATCTGGGGTAACTTTTTCAATTGCTTAGTAAATCTGAGAGAACATGTATAACACTCGAGATTAATTTACAATACTCTAGATGTTTTGCTGGAGTAGGAAGATTACTCTAAAATCAAAATCTATTTTAAATGCCTTCACAGATAAAGTGTGATTTGAATCAGCATATGTGCTTATAAAAAATATAGGTCTACTAACATCACTGCAAAAATGTTATGTTACAATAAAAACGTTCGATTCGGAAACGTTTGACTGTCTAATCAAATGTTTCCCAAGAGATCAAATCGAGATTAAATCTAGGTTCACCAATTGAAAATGCTTAAGATGGCTCATGTGTTATGTAAATACGTATAATGTTCAACAATTACACTAAAAAATCCGATTGGATTGCAAGAAATAGTATATATGGCGTTTTATCCCTGTTACAAGCCCCCTTGTTAAATCACTGTATCACATTGATTACTTCAATAGAACTTTAAAAGCGAAAAGGAATACTCAACAATCTGCAATACGTTATACGGTGTTTTTGACAGGGAAATTGATTATAGAACAACTAATTTAGATTACATATATATTTATTAAAACTCCTTAAAACCGACATTTTCAAAAATTTGGATATAAAATAATAATGTAGGAATTAACGGATATACTAACGAATGTTCCACTAAACTTCCCTATAATTCTTTGAAATGCAATTTGACTAATTTGGGCCGATTTTCAGAATTAACTGAAGTTTCAATACTGACCAACGAAACGCTTAAGTCATCAATTTTGCTGACTTAATCCATATTTATATCAGTTTTGAAATTTAAATTTCAAGTGTGAAATCGACTAATTATGGTAAATTACATTCGAACCACAGGTATAAATGACTGAAACATATGCATGTCCAAACTAAGCATACAATTCAGGAAAAACTTTCAAGATGCTTTTTCTTGCACAAAGAAGCTTTCTCTCACAAATATTGATTTGGACCGTAACTGAAAGTTTGGTTTGGCAATTCAAAACAGGATCACAAAGAAGCTTTATTATCTGTAATGCCTCGTTTTCACTATGTCATTTTCAATGTCAAATATTGTCAGTGAAATGAAAACGGGTAGTCATATGATGTCATATTCGTATTCTTGTCATGCAATGAAAACTCATTTGACACGACAGTCAATTATAATTGTCATTTAAAATGACATAGTGAAAACAAAGCATTAGCGGAATACAACAACAACGTAGCATTCTTCTCTTTTAAAAAATCTGTGTTGAAAAGTCCAACTCAAAAGCTATTTAAAGATTGGGGGTATTCAGATATAAAAAATCGAAAAAATTTATTCCAAAAATTGTGTACTGGTTTAGGAATCTAGCAGTTAATTACATTTGGTTTAGACTTTATTAATATGCAACATTTGATTGGATGTAAAATATAATTATGACTTCTCAAAAATTATTACTTTGAAATTAACAATAATCAATAGTCATTAACCGCTCCATACAAATTTTATTGGTCTTAAGTAGTTTTTCTTAACAATAAATAATGTGAGCTGAATTTATATTAACATTGAAAATACAATTAAATTTTATTTGTTTGGATCCTTATCTAATTATACACATGCATGCATATATGTACGTAAATATGTCTAAGCATAATTTATATACATTTTATTTAGTTTGCTATCAATTCTGTAAGGTGCTATCTATCGCTAAATCATTTCGTTTTTTGAATTGTTGACAATTAAACGCAAATCAATTAAATAAGCAGTACCTAAAACGGTACCACTAATCACGTGACAGAAAAACTTTAACCCTTTAGCATAAGCGTGTCAAATATAATAAACAAAATGACGCACATATGATTTTTGAATGTCATGTGTGGTGAGTTGTTTACACTGGCCTTGTGCTCAATTATATTAAAAATTTCAATAACCATGCATGGGCTATTATATTTAATTTTAAGCAACAATTTTAAGAGAATTGGGTGTATATCTAGACCAATAGAAAACGCTTGGCCTTTTGACAATTTCTGTTTACTATGCTAAGTCGTTATAAATTGCTAATATGTTAAAGTATTAATGTATTAAATAATTCTTCAATTTGAATCAGCTGTTGTCAGTTTATGTACACATAATTTTTTGGAAGTAATTTTAAAACTTTTGGCAACATATGCTCTAATTATAATATATACATATAAATTTTCTATTCAGAATTTAGCAATTAAACATAAATTTAGCAAGCTAAATAAAAAACGTAAAGGAACCAGCTATTAATTAACTGAAAGCCAGGGACAAATACAATGTCACACATGAGTAAAATTGCGTTAGCAACAAATGAACTCTATAAAATCAATTAAAGATACTGAAGTCTACAGATTTTCAGAAAACTACATAGGTTGTAAATCACTAAAGGTTTACTTGTTTGATTGTTCTTATATCTCCTTTTAAATCGTTTTACTCGTTTTTGGGTTCTGACATTCAATTTATTCGAAATATATTCACTTATTTGTTATAGACAAGTTTATGTGCATACATAAAACCAGTAACAACTGGTTTTATGCGGTAATGTATATAGAAAAATAATGGTTGAACTAGATATAACGTATCTGTTTTTATTTATTATTGCAGTTGTTAGTCTCTCATTTACATTGTTAACTTTCATTCATTCGAAATCTATTCCTTTTTTTTCAATGTAATTCGATATTACATTTTCTGTTTTTTTTATTTAATACATAAGCACATTAAGGTGACCTCAGAATTAAGTTCAATTTTGTGCTAAATAAGGATAATTGTGTCATTTTGTCGAGTATTTTTTTTTGCAGTAATACACTGGTATAAAACTAATTGCAAAATCCCAGTAAGTCATTAAATGAGTTCAAGTGTGATTGGGTACAAAACCACTACTCCGATGTAATATTGTAAATTCGATATTGAGACTTTATGTATTTAATTGTTATATAGTAGCTGTGTCGTACAAATTGGAGACTAAACTATAAGCTAATAATTACTTTTCTCTTATATGTTATTATATACAAATCTTTTAATTTTTTATGTAAGACTTTATATTCAATTTGGGAGTATTAATATATTATGAAACCAATATTAATATATTGTATTTTCAAATCATTAACAATATTCGTTTTATTGAAAAACATAAAAATAAATAACATTTCTATATCCATACATATTATTTAGTAACATAAAACTTAACGAAACTTTCATACATTTTTTACAGTGCCAATTGGTCTTATGTGCCAATTGAACGACAGCGTAGCACAAACACAAACCGTCGACAGCAGCGCTACTTACCTGCTTTGCCTGAATCAGATGGCGAAGAAAATAACACAACAGAAAAGATAAAAAAAGGAAAACGAACAGTGATGATGTTGGACGCTGAAAGGGAGGAGGCTAGGAATTTAGTAAGTGAAAATGTTAAATATTTTAGAAATGATTGAGATTAAAATTGAATATTTTTAATGAATTGTAGCAAATTGAGTTTGAATGGGTGCTGCGGGAGGAAGTGCATGGTATATTAAAACAGCTACGCACTACATTGATTGAATGCGCCCATCGTTTTCCTGTGCCACTCTATGAAAATGAAGGCAAGAAGACGGAGAAATTCATACTCTCTGTAGCACCAGATCAGCTAAAGGCAATTGTCACTCTTACCGGGGACAGCATAACTAGGGCAGTAAGTATTCCAAACATATTTTTAAAAAATATACATATGTGAATAGAAAAAATAATATATACTTTGTTATTGTAGGACATCAGTTTTAAATTATCCAAAGCACCTAATCAAGTGCAACGCACGTCAATCACTCAAGACTCACCGTGGAAACTGCAACAAATCCAAGATGCAGCCAATCATTTGCAGCAAGCAATCAATCATATCGATGACGTGGATGATTCGTATCATTTCAAGTAAGTGCTTAAAACTCTAAATTATAGTAGAAACTAAATTCTATTAAATGTGCAATCATATTTAGAACCTCTGATGAAGTGCTGCATGTGGTTGGAAATATTCTTGAAGCGCTGACACGCGGTCGTACAAGTTTAGTTATACCTAAGAAGAAACCCATAGATGAATTAATCAAATCACGAAATATGGTTTGTTTTTGTAATTTACACTTTAGAAACAGTTTTTTTTATAATATTCTATTTTCAATAGAAATCATTAGCTCCAAACTTATCGGAAGACTTGGCTGTCAGCTTTTATTTGCAAGGCCATAAACTAATTATTGCCGTGTATCAACTCACAAATATACAAGGCACAATGAAGTTCGACTCATGCCAGGCAGAAACATCCGTGCAGTGGCTAAATGAGGTGTTGTTAATGTTTACTGCTGGTCTGAAGTTATGTCAGCAATTGAAGGACAAAGTATGTATACGAATGACTATTTGTGTTGGGTGTAGAAAAATAATTTGTGATGTGGGAATTGATTGTTTGGGATGTATACATAATGGAATTAAATTTGAAGAAAAAACATAGTTTAGATCATAGAATAGAGGATAAACTATGAGCTGAAAGTTAAAAACGATCACAAAATTTTAAGATCTTTTATATTTTTGTTATGAAAAGTCTTTGTACCAGAAGTTGATACTGATTCTCATTAATGTTTCTTATTTGATAATAAAAAAATAAGTGGTTTTTGCAAATGTGGTTTAGAAACTAAATTAAAAAAATTATACGCTACCATCCTAGGCGTATCATTTTACGAACTATCTATTTTGATAAGTTAGATACAGCAACAAGTGCTGAAGCTTATCAAATTACTTTAATTATCAGAAGTAATTTACTTTTTGCTTTTAATATCTTAATTGATATAAGTTAATAACGTACTTGCGTTCAACATTGCAAGTACTGTTGAAGTGAGTCATTGCTATTCTGTTGCTACGGAATACCCTCATGATGCGTTTTTCCTATTATATTCAACTTAATTGAAATTTCATAATTCATTGTATAATTTACAAATATTACTTTACTCTCATTATAGCAATAATGCATACTTTTCATTTCTAAGCGACATCTAAAATTCATTTTTTAAAAGATCAGAATCAGTTTCTATTAAGCAGTTGTTTTTGCATTCCTCACAGATCAATGTGCATATCAAATAAATAGCACATAAATGAGTAATCTAATCTTTCACCTTATCAATCTATATCTTTGTCTAATGAATACATCGACAACTATTGCAAAAGCTGGAATCATATTAATGTACATATGTTATGTTGAGCATTTTCCGAGTTTGTGCATCTGTGCACTTTTACTCTATGATGGCTGGGGGGTTTTTACAGAGTCCCACCTATCTCACTGACTAATTTGAGTATTCCTCATAATCTTCGTGATTATTAAATGATTGATCTAAGATCTGCGTACTGCCCCGTGCGGTTAGTGATTACTCTGAGACTAGATAGTGCTAAGTAGGGCATCCTGTCGGTTTTCGTATATAGCTTCAGAGCTTTGTCCCTTATGTATTTTTTGACCGGATCTATTCTAAGGTCTCTTAGCATGTCATTAGTGCAGATGTACCAATGTACATAGACACAGTCTAATTTAGTATTAGTTTCCATACCATATCTTCCATTATCCAATTCTTGGAATATTTCTTTGTATCTTTTTCGGTCGTAAGACCGCATAGTAAAAGTGTAGACGTAGACCCGACTGTACTTGAATACCTAATCTAAATATGTAGTTATGTCAAATAATACTAGAAAAATATATATATCAGTAATATATTAATAATATATTAATATCGTGCATTTAAGAAACATATTTAAAATGATCCCGATTAAATGTCAATCTCATCGTATGTCTATCTATTATTATTCGAATATTGATTAATAATTAATTTGTTTATATTTTTTACCTCCATTATCTTAACATGTGCATATTTAGATCTTTTATTTATTTATTTTTTTGCTTTTGTTGTAAAATGTGCTCTGCGTACAGAATTGTTTCTGTGATTGTGTTGTAACCCAGTAGGACCTGTAAGCATATAACATGAAAGAATGCATAAGATTACATGAGTGGGGGAGATGGAAGGGGAAGAGGATGGGGTTTTCGTGATAATTTCTTGTTGTTATTCATATAAGCGCCTACTTTTTATATATGGGTAGTTTGAATTTGTTAGTTTATTATTAAACTAACAATTATCCTCTATAATTGCAGTTGTGATAGTTTGGAAACAAGTCCACAGATTTTAATGTCTATCAAAATATTTTTTTAACGATCTCTTTCCACTCTTAATATATGATTCTGTTAAATTAATTTGATGTATTTTCCTTTACAGATTTCCGTGTTTTCTGTGTATAAGGACTTTACAGTGGGTTCCAGATCACCATCAGCGCTTTCCTACTAATTGTATTTGTTATATATATTGTAAGAATAGAAAGCAGTTGCTGTAAATGTTTTTTTTTTGTTTTTGTTAAAATATTATTCCATAAATGTTAAGAATTTGTCTCTAATATCAGAGAGGCGTGAGGAAGTGCAATGTATATTTTTAAGTTAGTCTATTGGTGCTACTATTTTAGACATTATTCTGAGTCAGTTTAGAAAAGACAGTTAAAATAATTAATGTAATTGAAATTCGTTTGTCATGTATGTTAAAATTACAAAAAAAGCATGTTATTATATATTTTATATTGAAAAGATATTAAAACCATATCTTCCATGGTTTAAATTTATTTATAGAACATAAAACATTAATGTAAATAAATTCTTAAGTAGCTACTTAAGCTGTCTAAAGTTAACTTTAATGCAAATAATTGTATTCCAAATGTAATCTAATATGTTATTCCACTGGTAACCCGTATACGACATATTTACAGCACTGCTTGTATATTCTTGAATATATACATAAATACGTAACATAATACATTATATATTTAGTATAATATACTAAATTATTAAATACTAAATTATTAGATGATTGTTTATCGGTAGGACAGTTTCATCGAATATCTTTCAAACACTCGTAAAGCACTTTTGTACGTACTTATACAAACTTTTTTAATTAATTAGAATTTTACCACAACAGTACTTATTTTTGACCGTGTTTACATATATAAACATATATATAAATATATATATATATATATATATAGATATATGTTTTTGTACATGTAAAGTGTAAATTTGTATATTTTAAAATTTATATGTGCACAAATTTTTTAATATTATATAAGCATGTGTATTTCCACAAAGTGGAACATTGTTAGTCTGGTTTGTGGGGTACATCTGACGCAGATTCACAAAAAAGTGCTGAAATGGCATCACTAATATATAAATGAGGAATATAATATAATTATATTAAATCGGTTTATAATTATTTATTTTATAAATATAATTTTCGAACTATACATTTACAAAGGGAATAATTAATTTATAATTTTAATGTATTTTAAAGATAACACAAAAAAGACAAAATCAGTTGCCTTATATTGAAACCTATATATATGTATTTGATATATGTATAAACTCGCATATGTATAAGAAAGAAAAAATTTATAAATTTTACTAAAATTTTTGATAAATAGTTTACGAGTATACTCAAGGTACTAAAATTGTTAAAAAATAAATACTCATTTGTAAAACAATATATTTTTTAATATAGTTTATAATATAAAAAATGAAAAGTTATGAGTGGTTAACAATCAATCACTACTTTAGTTTGGATGTATAATTAATTTTTTTATGTCTTAATTATATGAAGTGTATTTGGTTGCAGTGTATTTGCAGATTGATGTAAAATAAAATATATTTAAAGACTATATAATTGCGTACAATTATTTAGTAACTATCTATGCTTAGAGTTATTCTATTAGGCTCACACCAGCACAACTATATTTTAGTTTATTTTATAGATTTCACCAGTCTATGTGGAAGCAACGTATAAATCTTGATTTTGATTAGTCAGGAAGTGTACTGAGTCAGTTCATTCTTACAACTATTTATTCAACAAAGTATATGGCCATCGCAACAATTCTTTACTCCCGCTTAGAGGAATTCGGACAATAGAGGGAAGATTTGCCGATATCGTACCATGGTGATTAAAAGAATTAATAATTTTATAATTGCCAAGATATTGATTGTCTAGTATTTCGAGGGTCCACCAAATGAGGTGCACCCATTCTAAAAAACACTAAATAACAAAAGTGATATAGATTGACATGTTTTTCGAGGGTCCACTGTATAGGTGCTAGTAGCCACGGACTCCATTTAATTACAATTCATAATTCAATTTTCGAAGGTCTTTACCCTGTTCGAAGATAGGGTAAAGGTGCTAGGTGCTAGATGATAGTACCGATGGTACCGACTACATTAATATACATTTTGATTATGTTACAAGCTTTAATTTCAACTAACAAAGAATTGATCTATTAAAAACTATTCATTGAGATATAATTCATTTTATTAAATTATCAGTACAAATGCAATATTAAATATTTTTTTTTTGTTGAGTATATATATATTTTAAACAAACCACATATCAAAATGAGTGGATCAATTGAAGCAGATAAGTATCTGCTTGATTGTGATACATATGCAGACTACTTGGATCTTTTTAGCACACTCCAGGATTATCACTACTTACGCCACTCTCACATACGTCACCAAATAGTTACTTTAGGGCATCGCGTCAGTAAGGTTTTAACTCCGCAAGAATTTGAGGATCGTAAACAATACGTTAGTCTTACTTTATATCCCATACAGAAGACATGGAAATTATTTAGTTTAAAAATACCTATTTCGGATCCTTTTTTAAAGGCGATGGCGCTACGTGAAAGACCTAATGCTCAAAATATGTTATCGGTACATAATCTATACAATCTACATATTATATGTCTATATGTTTATGTAATTGAATTATTTTAGACTATAATCTGGCTTGAATATCAACGGGCAAATGGTCAGGAAATTAGTGGCTATATTGATTTCAAACAAAGTCTCACCGATGCTAATAATAATGAGCGTAATCACCTTGACTGGTTTGCTATCTTTAAAGGTGAGAAAATGCTGCGTCCGAGAAAAACTGATCTAAGCTATTCCAATTGGCAAAAACATTTCATCATTCATAATGACTCTAAAAATTATAAAATTATGCACGATGGAGAATTGGGTGTGCTTTTTATGCATAAAGGTGATCACAAGACAATATGTGTGGATATCAATCAACCACTTCATAAGGAAAATTGTTATCGGGAAATGGTCTATTCACGTAAATATGGATACGTTACTTTCTATGATCATATCGTCCGTAGGAAGTTTTAAAATTGCATTTTGTAAACTTAAATTTTATAAGTATTTAATAAATTTTTATTTTACTTGTGGCTAACAATGAATTTATAATATACATTTCCTCTGATTATGAGTTAAGATTACATTTAGGCTAAAGTCCTTCTAACTAAAACATAATAAAAATATTCAGCCTTAAATAATTAAAATATTAAATAATTTTTTGTAGAAATAGTGTATTGTTAAGTACTAATACTACATATTACGATAAGTAGTTGGAACTATGATCCAACATCACTCGTAAGTAAGAATAGCTATAATCTTTAAAATTTTTATGATATGTTAATTTTATCAACATATTTATTATGCAAATAGAAAATATCTGTTTGTTTGAGTGTAAGGTCCTTCGCGATTGCTCCAACTAAAAGCGCAAGCTTATAAGGGATGGCAAGTTTATTTCAAACTCTATGCTTAACGCTAAACCTCAGATTACACATATCGGAAATACACACTGGCACTCGTTTGCAGTTACCTTACAGGGTTATATGACTCACTTTCTGACGTCCTCAAACTTAGCACCCCATCACATGACTTGTATAAGTCTCCGCAATACTTTGATAAATTGCAGTCAGGTGCTTCCATCATTCTTCTCTTTAAACTCGGCTTACACGGTTAAAAGTCTACAAGTATCCTACCAACCGTGCCAGCTTATAACCTCACCACCTTCATTTACATGTGTACTCCCTTAAATATTATTCATGATCTCTGACTAAAATGAACTCAGTTTTCTGTGTACTAAGTCAATTAACGTTCTAACTCTTCTCTAATTACTGTAATGAGATTTTCAATGCTTTGATCTCCATGACACAGTGACTGAAATCTTCCGTTTTCTTTCAAAAGAGAAAGAGTTGGTTTTAGAGATGGAAAATGAATTCTGGAACAAGTTCAGATTTATCATCACTGATTGGGTTTCTAATTAGATACGCAATTGTTGAGAACTACTTTTCAAAGATAGGATTTAAGCACACCAATATCTAAAGGTACTGGGAAATTCACAAATACTTGACAAATTTATGTACACATGTCCAGAAAGCTGATTAGTACATCCATATCAATTTCACTGAACTAAATGAGGTGTTTAATCTTGAAAAAAGAATTATGCTTACATTTAATTATAACTTTATCGTTCTATAAATGCTGATAGCTGCCTTAGCTTAAATAGATCTGAGTTCAGATCGCACTTTTGCTAACAACTACCTCTCTAAGAAAGCATTAAACGATATCAATATTTAAAGATTTCGGAAAATGCACAAACGTTTGACAATCCTATCTGCACATGTCCAGAAAATTGATTCAATACCTTCATATGACTAACTGAAACTGAAGCAAGCACGATAGTAGTGTTTGTAAGGAAAATACTCAGAAAAATGTTGGGCCCCGTGAACGAAAACGGGATGTATCGTATAAGATACGCCCACAAGTTAGAACGGCTGGCTGAAGGTGATACAACCAGCAGAAGAAGAGAGCGACCAAGAAAACGATGGAAAGACATGGAAAGAACGATGGAAATTAACATAAGAAATTGGAAAACTAAGTCAAATAATAGAGAACAATGAAAGGATGTTGTTAAACAGGCTTAGGTTCTACATGAACTGTATAATCACAGATGATGATGATATGACTTTCACTGAACTAAATAAGGTATGGAATTTTGAACGTGATTCGTAATTTGGTAGAACAATTCAATGAATATGTATAGCTTTCACAATAATTTAAATCTTCCATATTAGCTTTACTTTCAGCCGCGGTAACATTGGAATTCAAAGCTTGAATATATATTACTATCTACTATTATCTTTTCCGGTATTAATGATACCTATTACTAAAATCCATTGTTAGCCAATTCTCAAATCCCAAACGTCTTTACTACTCTTTATTTCAAGAGATCTGTTTTAATTTCTTCATTGTTAATTAGGAAACATCAACAAAGCTCATCAAAGTTATACTTTCGTCGCTACCCTCGTACCCTCGTTTAGCAGAAAATCTGAAACCAATATTATTTTTGGTACTCACAACTAAAGGTTTGCTTGGAAAGACGGTACTTAGTCTATTCTCTGTTCGCTCAGTTAGCTTCCAATGCGTTAAGAGCGTTCATTTGTTCGCGTCATTGGCAAAACAAGCGCGAACTAACACGCGATGTTGTTGAAAACAAAAGTGATGAAATTGCAGCGGCAGTGCAGCGTCGATCGTCGAGCGTCGAGCGCGAGCGTTAAGCGGAAGCACGTTAACAGTAGGTTTTGGAATTCTGTCCGCTCTTTGCATAGATCGATCGCTGTGCGCGTTGAGCTTTTGAGTCTGCTTTTGAGTCTGGGTTACGATCCGCACGCGTTCAGTTTCTTTTCACAGTGCAAAGTTGTTGGACGCTCAGTAAGCTAAGCGCATAACTCGCATAAATCTCGTTGGTAAATATTTTGCATCCTCGCTCACTTCTTTCGTGTCCATAATTAATCCATGATACGGCTTAGCTTAATATTTGACCGTTACCAAATCGCCTTCAATGCAAAAACAATTTTCAAATTTGTGTTTTAGTTTTGTTTTTGTTGTTGTAATATTCATACAAAGACGGCCAAGTGTTCAAAAACCAGTTTGATAATTATTATATTCGTTGTTGTTGTTGTTGTTGTTAGTATCTTGTATCTTGTATTGATACATTGTAGTGTTGTTGTTGTTGTGTTTGTTGCTGTTATGCATTTCGTTAGTGTTACGTGCGAGTGTTTGAAATAACTTTGACCTGCACCGACCCTGGCCAAAATAAGCACATAAAAAAAATTAATCTGAAAAGAAAAACAATAAATAAAAATATGACGAAGAAGAAGAAGACGAGAAACGAGTCTCACAGTCAAATTATTGCAATCACACGCCATACGCATTGAGAAGTAGTAAAAATGTATTGATCAACTTGACCAACTTGACCAAGTTAACAGAGTAAATCTTTAAAACAGATTGTGTTCATATTGAATGAACTTGGTCTGAAATAAGCCTTAAACCTGGTTCTTTATATCTCAGTTTGCATTTTTTTTATTGCAAATTGGAAATTACTTCATTTCGTAATGTGTAAAGTGGCTATCATGTCCATGATCCAACAGTCTCTCTAAGTCCAGAATCACAGCTAAGACAAGTAAATAATAAAGCATGACTGTTGCAGCTCATTAGAACGTTGGAACTACATGGATTACGACATGGGTTACGATAAATAAAAGGTTTAAACCCATCATGCCATAGAAATGCTCACTGTTGATTTCGAAAACAAGATTTGCATAAAAGTTATCTCAAAGATATTCATCTCATCCGTAGGAAATGAGTTACAACGAAAATTTTGTTAAGATGGGAAAAAAGTTTTAAACGAAAAAGAGTGAAGATTGCTATAAGGAAATGAATTGCATATAATAATAAAAAACCGATTATTATAATATTATGTAATTTTTACAAAGATTTAATATCAATTTTAACTGTTGAAAATTATGTGAACAGATAAAAATTAGGTGTAAGATTGTTGGGTGATTAGGTAGATAAACCTCGTCGACTGAGACCATGTATAAACCTGATCCTCGTCGCAATAACAGATGAAGTGAATCTACAAAAGGTTAGGTTTAGTTAGGTTACACTGATGATCCCTAGTGGATCCACTTTGGGCTATTGGCCCATTGTGTTACCGTATATATAGGATAAACTAGGGGTTTAAGACCATCTAAAACCTTTGGCGAAGTACAAAAGCTTAATATATATCAACTATTGTCTGTTGAGTTTTTTTCGTTGCTTTTGTAAATAAATATGTTTTCTTAGCATTCTTAGCAAATTATACTTTGTGAGAACTTTCAGATAATTACCAATATTACCAATATTTTTTCGTGGTCTTCAAAGAAAATGCATTATTCTAGACAAAGTATACTCTTTAAGAGCTTTACGAAGATTTCAGTATCAATTGTCAATATTTCTTCGTGGCCCTCAAAGAAGGTTTTCAAGAAATGTAGTTGTTTTGGACTACAAGTGAAAGTTTAATAATGCTTTCTTTTTCTCTTAGCATAAGTCGCAAAGATCGTCAGCAGAGTTCCTAGTTTGGCTACGAACAAGGTAATATTTAGACGATTTTTGGATAGAATATAATGTTGGAAAAAATGTGTTCATGCGAAATAAGTAAATAACAATATACCATAGAACAACTTTCAAACAATGATTTATTTTATAAAATTTAAGAATATCTTATTTGATATTTGAACCATTATGTTATAATAATTAGATAGTATTAAAATGTTGGGTGTGAAAAATATGTTAAATATGACTTACAAAAGCAGTATAACGTAACTGACATATAACAGCTATATAGCTGAAATGGTTGTCATAATCAAAACCATTATTACAATAAAAAAGCTGTTAAAAATCACTATTAAATCTTAATGACTATGGAGGCCACTTTAAAAATAAAAAGATCAACTACTGGATAAGATGACATAAACTAGCAAAAAAGTGTTCGTATAATATCATTAGGATGAAATCATGGAAGTTGGAAGCCACTTTAAATATAGAAAGATCAACAACTGGCTAAGAGGACACATAGCAGCTAAAAAAGTTTTCGAATTGTGTCATTAGGATGAAATCATCGAAGTTGGAGGTCACTTTAAAAATAGAAAGATCAACTACTGGATAAGATGCAACAAACTAGCAAAAAAGTGTTCGTATAATATCATTAGGATGAAATCATGGAAATTGGAGGCCACTTTAAATATAAAAAGATCAACTACTAGATAAGATGGCACACACCAGCTAAAATAATGTTCATATAGTATCATCAGGATTAATTCATGGAAGTGAAAGACTCTTAAAAGTGAAAAGATTATATGCTGAATAAGATGTCAAAGCTACGAATTTTTGACTGGTGTCAGCGCACGAAATGTAGACACGACTTGTGGAGGATGATAAATGCGTCCTCCAACTAACTAAGATATGCGAAAACAATAAAATACAGAATAAAAGTATTTCTGTACTAGTCTTCTTTAGTCGAAGTGGACAAGCGTGATGATAACAAGATAGTAAAATAATTCAATTTTTACTAAAAGACTTGCATATTTGCGTATAATCCACGCAATATGTTAGTTTATTGTTTGAGAACTGAATAACAATTATGTATCTAATAGTCTTTCATAAAACAGAGAGATGTACTATTTCATATGTGTATATTTATGCATATAGTTTCACAGAAATTGAAATAAACAGATTAGATATTGAAATATGTCTAACAACAGGAAATGTTGAGATCTCTTTGACTACCTAGTGTAGTAATCACTGAGTTCCTTAGTTGGATGATTATCTACTGAACATTACTCAACATTGTGTACATGATCTAAGGCGGAAGATGAGTTTTGGTAAAATATTTAATAATTTTAATAACGCAATTAATCTCATTATAATGATTAAATTCATAATAAGCGAAAGTAAGCAGCAGTTGGCATATGCCAAAAAAACAGTTTCTTTAATTTGTATCTTAATTTTTCAGACGGTTTCTTTTGCATAACCACTGATGGCAAAGAGATCGTGTTTGAAAGTATACATTTTGAAATAGTATTTTGAGAAGGTATTTTGTGCCACTCTTGCTTCTTTTAACGCAAGCTATTAATTAAGAAATAAATAACGTATCAATTTCATAATGTATCTGATAAATATTTTCTGCTCGACTTTAAGTGCTACAATTAGAAATATTGCAAATTTTTCTACTTTACGAAACCGATTAAAATAATTTCACAGGTTCTGACAAAACTGACTGCTAAGTCCTCATATGTTGTAAGTGATTTAGTTTCTTTTAAATAAAAATGTTTATATCAAACTATAATTTAAGGCAATTAGTAATTTATTTACACTATATTTAAAATTTTTAATCGACCAGTCAACAACGACTTTATTAATATTAATTTTTTAGCAAATCGGATTTTGTGTGTTCTATAATAATTAGTCATATAAAGTCAGAGCAGTTTGAAAAATTAACTTGACTATCAATTATCGCAGCTCTGAATTTGCATCTCAATACACAAGATATTCATATTAAGTCATATTAACTGGCACTGGCACTGTTAAGTAACTTTAATTGAAATACTAACATTTTTGTTTTGGTAGATACAATATTTTCCAAAATGACAACAAAGAGCCAAGGCGAGGTAGTTTTAGTTACCGGTGGAAGTGGTTTTATAGGTCAGCATTTAATTAAACAGCTTTTGCGTGATAGAGAAGGTTTGGGCATAGCTGAAGTGCGCTCACTGGATATTGCGCCGTATAAAGATACAATTGGTAAGAGCAAAAACGTCAATTTTTTTTCAAATTTTTAACTGAAGCAACACCGAATGAATGAGTTATTTAGTGATATTGTTCATCTTTTGAGTAGGAAATCCAGTGGAAAAGCAGATACGTACTTTTGTCGGTGACATTAATGATGCAGAATCTGTGTCCAATGCTTTCAAAGGTGTGGATTGTGTGTTTCACGTAGCTGCTTTAGTTAGCATAGAATATCCACCAAATTATGAAGAACTAGAACGTGTTAATGTAGATGGTATTGTAGAATAGTTTGTCATAAGAATATAAATAATCTTAATAATCCATACTTTTTAAAGGTACACGTTCTGTTGTGGACTTGTGTGTGAACAATAATGTCAAAAGACTGATTTTTACCAGTTGTGCATCGGTGTGCGTTATTCCCTTTAAAGGTAGCACTTTCACAATTGTGATCAATCAGACTGAATCCAAAGCAGCTACACCAGCATTTGATGCACAAAAATTGGACGAATATGACAAATCATTTCTCATACCCGGTTACTCATCTTCTAAGTTGAGAGCAGAGAAAATAGTGCTAAACGCCAATGGCACGCTTTTATCCAATCGTCAAGGTACGCATGTATAAACTAAATGTAATTAATAAATTTTCTTTATCATAACAATTTTTATCACAGATTATCTTAGCACTGTTGCTCTACGTCCTCCATTGACTTACGGCGAGGGTGATTCTCATTTTGTTCCCCAAATGTTTGATTATCTCTCAAAGCGTGGTTTCACCTACCCACGTATAGCGGGTGCTGGTGGCAAGCATCAGTTGGTTTATGCAGGTAACTGCTTTAAACAATAAAAAAAATGTACTATCCAAAGCACTTAATTAATTTACATTTAAATAAATTGCAGGTAATGTTGCTTGGGGTCATATTTGTGCTTACAAAACATTGAAGTCCAATCCAAAGGCTATCGCTGGTTTGCCAGTCTTCGTTACTGATGACACGCCTGTCAATGATGTCTCACGTTTCATACAAAAAATGGCAATACTAGGACAAAACTTCAAAGTCAATCAATCCGTGTGGTATATACCACATTTTCTCTTCTTCTTTTTCGCTTTTATGACTGAACTGATCGTGCAAATCTTGTATCCTTTCACAAAATGGAAGCTATCATATTCCTTGCGTGCAATCAGCTCTTTCACAGCTTCTGTGCTTATGTTTAATCGGTTACGTGCTTCTATACACATGGACTACACACCTTTGGTGGAGAGTGAAAAATCTTTGGAACAGAGTGCGTATTGGTATTCAAAATGGTGGAAGGAAAATGGCGCCAAAAAACGGGTTAATCGAAATAGTTAATTTTATAGCCAATTTATCGGTTATTAAAGTTTTTGTTGTATATAATTTAATGTTGACTGTTTGCAGTGCTTTGTTGTAGTATTAATAATGTATTTTGTTAACAATTGTTATTACCTTCGAATATTTGGAATTGGTTTCAGTTCAAAATTAAAAATTCTTATTTTATAATAGAAAAGGTACATGATATTAAAATGTGTATATATTATTTCTAAGATAAGTAATAAGTTATATATTCTTAAAAATTTTATACTTAGGTACATAATATTATTAAGTACCATGAGTAGGTAATCAGTTCTTCCTTTTATACTTATTGTTGATGGACTCAAAATGTTTTTAATCTTTATATTAAAATACCGCAGCTCTCTATGGAATGATGTGTTAGTTTTCATTTCTTTGTAAACAGAACAAACAGAACATGACCACTAAACAACACTTAAAATTAGTCCCGCCCATTGGTTTAGTTAATTCAATCGGGGTCTCGGATTGCTCATGAACATATTTAAAGAAGGACATAGATCTATGGATCTATTCTATCTATTTAATAAATTTAGATTAATTTATTTTGAATTAATCATTTTAATTTAGAAGTATAAATTTCCAACTATCGGCTGTCTAGAAGACGAAACAGTAAGCAGGAACAGTTCTCAGTCGAGAAGATGAAATTGCTATTAAAATTTATTACTTTCTATGCAAAAGTATATTTTTCTGCAAAGATAACTTTTTGAAAAAAAAAATGTTTTTAATAAGAAACAACCATTAAGTTCGTCTATTTGGCACGATATAACATCAACATATATAAGGGATTTATCTTGCCATGCTTCTGATCTGATTCTGGACATATATGAAACTCAGATGATACCTGATTTATCATATGCTTTGTTAAGGTTTGCCACTTCACTATATGGATCGTTTAACAACCGCTGAATGTGCTAAATTTGTGAGTTATAAATACTTGTGCATTTCCAATACATCCAGGAATTGTTAATAGAGTACCTACCTTAAATATTACTGATTCATATAATGTTGGCATGAACTGACTTTTGAGCTTCATTATTAATCAGTGATCAAAGAAGGTGTTTCATTTTTCTTTAAAAAATATTTTTTAGAAAAAAGATTTTCGACATCAGATTCACTAAACTAGCACTTCTTAAAATACTAAACTTTTACCTGTAAAACGTTTAGTTAGTTAGTTGTGGTGAAGGAAGGAACGAGTCCTTCTCGTAATAGTGGGTGGTACAGAGAAGGTCAAGCTAGAATCAGCCAAGGCAAGAATCTGGCCAATGCTAATGCTAGAGATCTCGCCGAGTGTACCTTCTGCTCAAAAAGTATCCGGATTTTGTCGTTTGTTAACTACTCCTTCAGTAATAGACCTTTTTTTGTTATGTTAGTACAACCTTTCTTGACATATGGTACAAATTTGAGCGCCATCTATCGATTAGTTTCTTTACAACAGCTGTTACGGCACCACTGTCATCGCTCAGACACCATATTCGGCAGATCTGGATCCGTGCGACTTTTTTCTGTTCCCGAAATTCAAATTGCCCCTTCGTGGTAAGCGTTTTGAGTCGATTGAATCGGTAAAAGAGAATTCTCCGAAGAAACTAAAAGCCATACCTTCACAGGCCTACGAAAAGTGTATTGAAGATTGGGTTAAGCGTTGGCATATGTGTATCTGACTGACTATGTTTGAGCGTACCGCTACCATTGATGAGTAGCCCATGTAAGTATACAAGCATTCTCTTGATTACATTAATGTATCTGAAAGCAGTAAATCCACAATTCGCCTATGGAAGGATTAAAATAAATAGACGAGGGTGTTTTTTTTTTGTTTTGAACAATGTTCATATATTTTATTTTATTATTTGCTTTAGAGATTTTTTATTTTATTTATCTTATATACTAAATATTAAATTTATTTATTAATTTATTTAATTACTCTTAAACTGTTTCAAAATCATTCCATATAATATATACCATATATTTATATATATATATGTACTTATATATATATATTTAATATTTATAAGTTTTTAATATTTTTGCAAATACATTTTCCATTTTCTGTTTTCTATTTTTTATCTTCATCTTTCACTTTTATTTTTCACAAAAGAAATTAGAATTAAATTTTCTTGCCTTTGAATTCAAGTTCGCTACATTCTTATCCTTACAAACAGACGGGCACGTTGTGAACAAAAATTTCTTAAGTAAATTTTTCTTCAAGTTTTTTCATTGCGAATACATAAGCGGTATTGTGTTTTTATATCCGTGTCTGTATCTGTATCTGTATCTGTATTTGTATTGGGATTAGTGTCCATATATTTGTATCTGTGTGACTTCATGTGTCGATTCATGTAGTTCAATTGTTTCAGATTGATTTCTTCAGATTGATTTAAACTGAATTTGTATATTTGTTTTGTTGTTATTTTAGTTGTAGTTGTGGTTGTTGTTGTTCTTCTTCCTGTTGTTGTTGTATTTACGTTTTTCACACCCAATCGAGTGCTTAAATTTGTTGAAATGTTTTAAGTAAAAAATGTTGCTGCCGCTCTTAACCCTTAAACGACCACTTAGGGACTTGCTTGTAATTGTAAAACGTTAAGAGTTTTGCTATGGTTTATTTTGTTAATTTAGTTTTGTGTTTTTCAAAGTTTTGTATTTTTACAAATTTTTTAATTAATTTTTACTGTTTGTATTTTTTATATTTTACTCTTCATGTATTTTGTTTTTATTTGACTTTTATTTTTATTCATTTTAATTTTTATTTTGTGAATAATAAACTTAATTTTAGTTATATTTAAATTGTTTACAAATTCGTTTCTGCTTTGTGTGTATCTTGTTAATAGTTTTTCTTTTATTTATTGTTAATAATATTTTATATTTTCACTTTTTACAATATTTTTTAATTAATAAAAATTCTTTACTTTCTTAAATGTTTGTTTTTGTTTTTGTTTTGGTTTTTGTTTTAACTTTTATTTTAATATTTTTATTTTTTTTGAAAAATTAACAGTAAACATATTCCTTGTATAGTTGTTGTATTTTGTAGATGTGATTTAACAATAATTGTCATATTTACACAATTATATAAATGTATACATGTATATTTTAGTAATTTTATAATTTTTTTATAACATTTTCATGAATTTTTTGTTGGTTTTTTATTTTTGCTGTTAGCAATTACAAACTGACATAGCAGTACTTGCAAGACAGACCGAAGCGCTAATTTTGTTGCTTTTAACCCTTTGGTGTCGTTGATGGTCTGAGATGGTCTGAGATGGTCTGCCGAGATGGTGTACTGCAGTAATGGAGTATAAAAACCAAAAAATTACTTCATAATACTTCACTTCTTAGCATATTTTGTTTTAATGGTTATAATAATATTTATTTTTTTAATACAATATCTTCTATATTAAAGTATTTTCTCATCATTTCTTCATTAGAGATATAAATCATTGATTTGAAGTTTATATTTTCATTCTTATTAAATATAAATTTAAGTATTTTTATTCATAATATTTTTTTTTTTAAATCCATTATAAGAAATCTATGAGTTCTTATCACTATTACATATATAGAAGTATATATAATCTAATCATATCATTCCTGTGTATAAAGTATTAAAAGGATTTTGTTTAAGATTTTAATTCATATCTTTTGTAAATACAATTTACTTCTCCTTAATAAGTATTTATAATAATCAAGTTTTTTAGTATGTATAGTGTAAAATATATATTTATTTTTATATATATATAAATATATATATATAAGATATTGTCAATATAGTGAAGGTGTTTGTCAGAGCAATTCTGCGGTCACAGTCCTCACTGTGCACGCATAGAATTTTCAATAGCAAAAATGTGTCAGGCTGTGTCTTGGGGAAACACTTTCACGGTAGAGAGGGGAGAGTACACACATATAATTTTAAATACTGAAGCGTATAAATTTACAGTTTTTTTTTATTTGGATTTCATAAATTTTAACTTAGCTTCATACATTTTTTTCAGTGTATGCTTAAAATTTCATTAAATTTCATTAAACTTTGTTCATAGCTTACAAAATAGAAAAATTATAAAAACAAAGCAATGATAAGATGAAATTAGAAATAATTTTTACAATAACTATATTTTCAATAATATTATAAAATGTAAATACTTAAAATAACTATAATGTATTTCAAGTATAAGCATATTTTTCATAATTTTTTTATTTTATAATATTTTATTTAACAAGAAATGATATGTACTTAATTAAAAAATACAATATTCTATAATTTACTAAATAAAATTAGTTACGCTTGTACGCATACTTTTTGCGCGTAGTGTATTTATTTTAATTTTTGTGTAAATTATTATTAATTATTTTTAATTGTATTTATATTATTGAGAGATTTTATATTTAATTGTTTATTATTTGGCCTAAATTGACTTTAAAATGGGAAAATATTTTTTTATTCTCCCAAGATATAAACTTCAAGTATTAAAGCTTTTACGTGGCAACGCCCACATTTAGGGCGGCCTCTTTTGAAAAAGGTGAAAAATAGAATTGAAATGAAAGTTTCATATATAATAGGTTATATATAATTTTTATTTGGTACTTATAAAATTTATTCATTTATTTTAAATATTTTTAAATCGTTAATTGACTAAAATTGATTCTGTTTAAGGACGATATTTGATGATTTTTGTTTAACGACGGTCGAGACATACGCAAAAGTTTAACTATTGCCAACGGCTGGGATGATAAGGTTAAATCTTTATCTTCACTTGATGTATGCTAGTATGTATGTCTTCAAATTTGCGGGCTGTACTTACAGTTCTGTCTGAAATGTCAGATACATTTGCTTAAAAAATGGCTTTGAGGCACCTTTTCTGTGTCCAACTATTATGAAGCGAAATTCTTGTAAATTGTGTAAAAAATAGGTTTAGATTTGCAACCTTATAACACAAAATAACCAGTTTAAATATATAAAATACTGTGATTCCTAAATGAAGAGAGAGCACTGTAAATAAAATCTTTGGAGCTCACAATATCGAATAGAGATAAATTGAGATCATGATTAATCTTGTTCTCAATACTTGTATACTTGCATATGGTTGTATATCCAGAGTTTTAAGTGTTTAGATGAATGTCTTAAGTCATCCATTAAAAACAAAATAATCTTCGTTGGAAGCGATGT